GCCCGCAGGCCCTGTTCCTTCAAAGCCCCCGGCCCCCTGGGCAGAGGGGAGGGGCCTCTGAGAGCACTCGCCCGCCCTCAGGATGCGGTCTCCTGACCTGCTGCTGCCCTCCTCGACTCCCATCCCTGAGCTTTGGCTTTCGAGCGGCAAGTGGCCAGACCCCGGCTTTGGCAGCCATTTGTGTCAAGGAAATTTCCCCAAGGCTCTCCCCTGCACTTCCTCTAGCGGCCTTGGCTGGGCCTATGTCAAGTTCAGAGATTAACAAGACAAATTGAATTTCATGGGGCCCCCCTGGTGGCGCAAGGGGTTACGTCTGAGCACTATGAGCCTATCAGAGGCCACTGTAGCACAAGGGAGCTGACCCACATGGCGCAGCAGACCCCTCCTGTCTCCCCGCTGCTCCCCTCAGCAGTGGCCTTCAGTGGATCCGCCTGTTCTGCTCCTCACTCTGTCACTGGGGAGTCCTCCCATCTCCCCCTCCCCTGCACTTCTGGCCTGCACCCCAGTTCTTGTATGCATAAATAAAATAAATCTTTAAAATAAATTAAATTCCGTGCTCAAGGAGGCGGTGTGTGGAACAAGGAACCGAGTTAATGACTAAAACAGCCATCCCCGCAGTTTTCAGACGAGAGAGCAACACGTCAGGGACGAGCACATAGGACGGAGACATTCTGGAAAGCTCTGGTTTGGATGAGGAATTTAGGGAGCTAAGTGGAGCTTGTTCCCTGCCCCCATCCCGACCTTGATGCGGCGGGCACCCTCCATCCAGTCAGGGTGCCCTTCACAGAGACTTTATTCCCTGCCCTCCTGGGAACAGAAGGAGAGTCAGAGAAAACCCCTGCTTTTGGGAGGAAGGGAAATTAGGGGACCGCTCACTGGCAGACTGATTCTTTAATTCGAAAAATAATAATGTGCTACTTTGGCACATCTTGGGGTGCCTGACCTGGGACCCACAGTTTCTATTGATAGCATCCTCTTCTGTGGTCAGGCCACACCTGCAGGTTTCATTTTCAAGCAGTTTTCCGTGCTGAAGTCTTTGCCAGGCACGTGCAAGGGGCCCGCCCGTCCTGCCAGTGCCCCAGGCACCAGTGCTGGGTCAGGGAAGGGTGGGGAGTCTCTCCAGCGGGCACCAGTGCTGGGTCAGTGTGTGGGGGGGTCTCTCCAGTGGGCACCAGTGCTGGGTCAGTGTGGGGGGGGAGGGTCTCTCCAGCGGGCACCAGTGCTGGGTCAGTGGGGGGGTGGGGAGTCTCTCCAGCAGGCACCTGTGCTGGGTCAGCAGGTTCTCTCCCCTGGGTGGGTCAGCAGCAGGAAGCAAGCACGCATGCCGCCCCCAGCACTCACATTCACTCTTCATGGAGCGCAAAGCTCCTTTCACAAATTGGGGGGAGGTGAATATCAGAAACGCATTTCAAAACACATTGTGGAAGGGGGCTGTGTGGGGAGGTTGTGCCAGGGGAGAGGGCGCCAGTTCTCCTCCAGAGTGGATCATCTGCGGCGCGCTCACCCCTAACCTTCACCAGGCAGGAGATGCCCCCAGCGCCTGCACCGCAGGCCACAGCACGCGCAGATGCCACTCACGCGACGTGTCTCCATCACCAGCTGCATCCCGACCCACCGGGCTTGCCCCCGAAGCCCTACCTCCCCTTTCTAATCTCCAGCAGCCACCTCGGCTAAGGCTGCACCCCATGTGATCTTAGCGACTCATCAGTGTAATCATCCGAGGCCTCTAGCCAGAGGCTTTCCAGCACAAGACGTTCAGATTGTCTCACTTCGCTGTTTCTCAGCCAACCTTCTGAATATTCATGCGCACCTTTCAAGTTCAGCTCTTCCTGCGGCAGCCGAGCTGTTCGCGACACTCCTTGGCACAAGCCAGCCTCTTCCACGCCAGCGCCGCTCAGGCCACCCCAGTCAGACCGCCCCCCCTCCACCCGGCAGCTGTTGGGGAGCAAAGAAGCCATTGGTACCCCTCAGGTACTCCCAGGCTGGCAAGTAACCAAGCAAGCCTCAGAGAGATGGGCCCGAGGGGGAAGCTATGGGAAGCTGGAAGCCAGCACGCGTGCCCGTGGGCGTGGGCGTGGGAGACAGCCGGCCAGCCCGAGGACCATGCCACCCGGCTCCAGACCTCAGCCGGCGTGGGCAGCTGAGCGGACCAGGGGTCGGGGGCAGTGAGGGAGCTCCCAGGGAGGCACAGCAGAGACAGCAATGAGGGTGAAGTTCTACCTCCTCCAGGGAAGAGAGCAGATTAGTCTCCCCTGCACAGGCGGCAGACTCCCCGCCACCCAGCCCTCAGCGCCCCTGAAGCCCGCCCCCTCGGAAAGGCGGATTGGGCGTGGACAGCTCCTCCCCACTAGGCTCCCCTCTCCTGCAGGGTTTCCGTTTTTCAGTGGTTCTTGGTCACCCCCAATCTGAAAAGTGTCCACTGCTGGTCCTTTGCTCCCCTAAGTCATGTCACAGTGCTCCCCACGTCCCTGACTCACCGGCTTTCTGCTCTTGACAAGGGCAGCATTTCTAAGCACCTGGCCAAAGAGGGGGCTGCTGAACCCATTAATATGTAGAAACCGACCAGGTCCCAGTGTTAGTGCGGGTCCCCTCCGCCCCCACCCAACGCACACGTCCAATGCTAACTCCCGACATACGGAGACGCGGGCACTTGGGCAGGTAACTAGGCTGGGAAGGCGGCCCCCATGAGTGGGATCGGGGCCCTTATCACCCCAGCTCTTGCCCCTCCCTCGCTGAGGGCGCAGGGTGGAGGCCGCCCACGGCAAGAAGCAGACCCTCAGCACACACCCAGCACGTCGCTCTGCGGGCACCCGGTCCTGGACTTCAGCCTCCAGAACGGAGATACAGATTTCGCTCGTTTCAGCATTTTGTCACCGCGGCACAAGTGAACTCAGACAGAAATTGCAAAGCTGACATCTACAGACTGATTTCTTCAATGGAGCCAGGAAACCGCCTCCGAGCTGGCCCCAAGCCTTGGTCCTCGGGAGCCCAGGGGCAGACCACTGTGCGGGCACCCGGGGTCAGGAGGACTCGCGGCCTGAGCAGAGCCCGCAGCCACGGCCGTCACAGAGCGGGGGCTCCGTGGAAAGGGGAGGCTCCCTGTCCCGCGCCCCACCTACGGAAAGGGGTGCTGAGGGGCCAGGGGGGCTGGAGCATGCGGGGGGGCCCTGAAGAGACTCAGGAGGAGCCGGGGCAGCAGAGATGGGGCGGGAAGGAGGGGCTCTTGCTTCTAGGTCTTGAACTCGCACCAGGGACCTGGGGCGTGGCGGGAGTGCGTGGGGAGGACACTCGGGCCAAGTGACACGCGGAGCGCAGAGCAGCTGACAGCAGCAGCCCTGATCGCCCCGTGTGGCCTGACCTCGCCCTTCCTCCAGGACGTCTGCGGCGGCCGCCCGGGCAGCTGGAGCTTGTCAGCGCAGGTCGTTCTTTCTCCCTGTAAAACCTCCTGACTTTGTCCCTCCCTGGGGCACATTTTAGTTTTCCCCTGATTCTGTATCCCCCTAATTGCAATTTTTTGAACCCAAACATGCGTTGCCTTTTGAATTGCCTGCTGGATCTTCAGGGGACACCACTCAGCAGTGGATGCTGCTGGAACCGCTGCCTAGAAGAGGGGAAGCAGCTGTGGAACTGGTGCGGGAAACGCTGGGAGAGCCCCGAGGTGCGGGCCCGGCAAAGCCCACGGGGCCAGCAATGGATCCTTGGTTCTGGTGAGCGTGCAGAAAGGAGGCAGCCGCAGAGAAACCCCCGCCTTCTGAATAAGAATAATTCTTAAGGGCCTCCCTGGTGGCACAAGGGGTTAAGCACAGCGCTATGAAGCTACCTGCAGCCTCTGCAGCCCGAGTTCCATGCCCAGGCAGGTTGCTACCCACAGGGAGCAGCAGACCCCTCCTGTCTCGTCCTCTGCTCCCCTCAGCAGTGTGTTTCAGTCAGTCTGCCTGTTCTGCTCCCCGTTCTGTCTCTGGTGAATCCTCTCACCCCCCACATCTCTGGCCTGTGCCCCAGCTCTTGTGTGCATAAATAAATCTTTAAAAAAAAAAGAATAATTCTTAGTAAGAATAAGCCTTGTTAAAAAAGAAGCAACAGGGGCCTCCCTGGTGGCACAAGGGGTGAAGACACAACCTACGAGGCTTACTGCAGCCTCTGCAGCACGAGTTCAATCCCCGGCCACGGAACTACCCAGGTGGCACAGCAGACCCCTCCTGTCTCGTCCTCTGCTCCCCTCAGCAGTGTGTTCCAGTCAGTCGGCCTGTTCTGCTCCTGGCTCTGTCTCTGGTGGATCTCTCACCCCCCACCTCTCTGGCCTGCACCCCAGCTCCTGTGTGCATAAATCTTTTTTAAAAAACAAAAATAAAAGTAAAAAGCCACAGGTCCAAGATGGAACTGCTCGCGGCATCCCAACCCCCCCAACCCCGGCCTTCGTAGCGTCTCCTCGGCCCCTCAAGGTCAAGCCCAGAAGCAGAGACCTCGAGCTCGCCGGGGGGCACCGACGGGGACCCCTCGGCGGCGCAGGGGCCGTGCGCCCGAGCAGCCGGGCACCCACTCCCCGGGAGAGCCCGAGGGCCGCCCGAGCTTGACCTGGGCCGGGCGCCCAGAGCAGGGGCCCTCGGGGAGCGGCCGGGGCTCCCCGCCCGGAAGGACCCCCGCTCCGCGGCCGCCGGCTCCGGGGCTCCGCCTCCCTCGCCGCCCGGGCTGCGCCCCCGCACGCCCCCCGCGGGGTCCGCGGAGCGTTTCTGCGGGCGCCCCGGGCGGGTCCCCCGCAGGCCGCAGCGGCAGCCAGGCAGGCCCGGGGGCCCGGGGCGCCCCACGCAGACGGGGCCCGGGGGCCGCCGCGCAGGGGCCGGGGCGCGGGAGGCCGGCAGGGGGCGCCGGCGGGCGGCGCGCGGGCGCGAGGGGGAAGCCCCGCCCCCGCGCAGGCAGCGCCGCGCCCGATTGGGCCGCCGCGCCGCGGCGCGCGGCGGGGCGGGGCGGGGCGGGCGGCGTCGCGTCCGGGTGACGTCTCCCGCGGGCGTCGGGCTGGGTCGGCGGCGTCGGCGGCAGGGTCGGCGGCGGCGGGTGGGAAATGGCGGAGTACTTGGCCTCCATCTTCGGCACCGAGAAAGACAAGTGAGTGGCGCGGGCCGCCGGGCCCCGGGCGGGGGCGCGGGGCCGGGGGGCGCGGGGGCCGGCGGCGGCGGCGGCGCGGCGGCGGGGGGAGGGGCGGCGGCCTTCCGGCCTGGCGCCCTCGGGGACCGCGCCGCCGCGTGGGGCGCCGGGCGGGCGGGCGGCCCCCTCCCCCCCCCGCGCGGCCCCCCGTCCCCGCGCGGCCTCCCCGCCCGGCCTCCCGCTCTCCCGCGCGGCCCGCGCCGCCCGGAGTTGCGCCCAAGTTGTCGGCGGCCCCGGCCCCGCCCGAGCCCTCGGCGGCGAGGCGGGCGGGCGGGCGGGCGGCCGCGCGGGCCGGGCCGGGGCTGCGCCCCCCAGCGAGCCTGCGGCGCTCGGGGCGGCGCTCGGGCCTCCTGAGGCGACGGGGAGGGGAGGGGCTCGCGGACGCCGCGTGCGCCGGCCGCCCGGCCAGACCGAGGCTTCCAGGACACTTGAGGATGAAGCCCCGCCGTTGGGGAAGAGGGGTTTTTGTCTTCTTAAAGGTTGCGTGCCCCCCAACCTTCTGTTAGGTTACAAGTGCCCCCCAAATTGCCACTTCGCCACCTTGGCAGGTATTAAATTCCGGCACTTGAACCGACCTCAGGCGTTTTGAAGGATGGCTTAGTTTGAAAAACCTGAAGACTCAGCGTCCGTCTGAGGCGTTGGGGTCCTCAGGCGCCCTCTGGGGAGGCGCCGGGCTGTGTGAACGGCTTTGCACCCCAGCCCCTACGCTGTCAGAGGTGATGTTTTAACGCCGCTCTTCTAAACACTGTTTAAATTGTTTTCCAGGATGCAGCCTGTCTTGCAAAATGTCTTCTTTCATACACGATAGACTCTTCTGTGTTGCCGGGATAGGGGGTTACACTCTTTTCTAGAAAAACAAGACAGAATCATCAGTCAGGATTCCTCCAGAAGCATTTATTGGGGGTGAACACTCAGCCAGCTTTGGGGTCTCAGGATGGATAAAATTTGGATCATATTTCCAAGGAACTCCAGGAGGGAAGGGGAATACATGTCAAGTAAAGGAGGAGTAAAGGAAATGGATTAAAACTTACATACTTTGGAAGAGGTACACACCCTCCGTGCCCTGACTTCCCGGTAGTGGCCGCTTGGGTTTGAAGCTTGCCTTTAAATACATACTGTTGACGATACTGTACCATCTCTGGGGAGGGATGGATGGTCGGCCCCGCCCCTTGTGCGCCCTCCGGCCACTCCGTCTTACACCGCCTGCACCGGGGCTGCTGCTTTCTTGCTCCTGGGAAAGGCTGTATCAGGTAGTTTCTTCACTCCCCATGTCTCGTGCTACCTCAGAAGTTTGTTCAGTGGCATTTTATATTCCTACAGTAAATGAGCACGTTCCATCGCGTCAGGGTCACGAGTGGCTATGTCGGTTACCCCTCCTCACTGCGGGGAGACCCAGGGGGTCCATTTCCAGGAAGCAGAATCAACTGAAACACGAAGCCCTTTTTCTGCCCTTTTTCTTTTAATCCAAAATAACATGTAGGCCTCTACCAGTTAAAGTAATTAGCTGACTGTGAATTTGAAGTTGAGGACATTCTCTAAATCTAAACAGGGTTGACCTTTCTGAAGTACCTTCTCTGAGCTGATAAATCACAACATTCTCTCTGTCTTTTCATTTTGTTGCAGTAGTGTAGTGGGCATGTCACCAGATTTATTGCTAGGAAAGTTGTGACTGATGTACAGAATTCTAGCTGGGCATCATGGAATGAAAGCCATCTAAGGTTGCAAATATACATAGTGGCCATTTTCCTTGCCTGGTAAGTTCAGCCTTTCCCACTCATGCTGCCCAGGGGTAAGTGAACAGCTAGTCAGTCTTCACGCTCCATTGGGTTTCTCTGAGGCCTTCATTTTAATCCACTGCCTAAACAAACGGGTGCTCCGTTGAATTTACAGGACATCCCTGCCCCTTTTGCCTGTCTGCGAGCGGCCGCCAGTGAGCGCCGCGCCCTGCCTGCCCACTAGCTTGGACTCCATCTGGCGCCACAGCATCTGCGGTGCTGGGAGGGCTTTGTGACAGGGACAGAGGGTGGCCTGGAGAGGCCACAGAGGAACTACAGGCACATTGAGTTGCCTAAAACTTTTCAGTGTGTTGAAACGAAAATTATTTGCTTCGGATCTGTTTCTGGAAATTTCCTACTGGTCCAGTGTCTCAGCTAAGAGAACTGGACTTTGTTTTCTGTTTATTTGAATAATGATTGCATTTAATGAGCACACAGACCTTATATCCAGTTCTTGAGCCATGCCAGGTTGGCTTTTTCCATGTTTTGCTTGTGCCTTCTGAGACCCAGAGAGGCGTGGGTGACATGCCGCATCCAGGCAGCTCTCAGCAGAGTCGGGGTCTGGAGCCACCTTCCTCCCTGCGGGTGTCCCCGAGAGTTTCATCACGGCAGAGTGGAGAGCGGATATGTGGGCGTTCACTTTAGTTTTAGTTTAACATTCACTTAGCGGGCGAGAGCCGAGGAGATACATAAAAGTGGAGGTGATTTTAATGGAGCGGCAGCCTTTGAAAGTGCCCGAGCTTGTGCCAGCAGTTGGAGCGCAGCAGCCCCTTAAAGATGGGAAGAGGGGTGCCTCTCCCACTAAGACCTGCCTCTGCTCTCGTGATGTGAAGAGAGGTCGTTTGAGAGCACGTGTCACGTGGGGGCCGTGTTTCCAGCTGACTTCTTCCCAGCAAAATAATCGGCTCTTCTTTTCCCTTACAGAGTCAACTGTTCATTTTATTTCAAAATTGGAGCGTGTCGTCATGGAGACAGGTGCTCTCGGTTGCACAATAAACCGACCTTTAGCCAGGTTTGTTTGTTTTTTCTTTTAATTTTCTCTGTTTTCATGTAAACTGTCAAAACTCCATGTATTTTACAGAATAAGCAGGTCATTTTTTTTATTATTATTTTTCATTTGTGTCCATAAGTGTGTGCTTTTGTGTAGAGAGGAGGGAGCAGGCGAGCTACCCCGGGGGCGGTGTGAGCGTCACTGCTCCTGTCATGAGACACTGCTCACCTTCAAGCTTGTAGGCCCGCTGTTGGCCGTGGCCAGGCAGAGCAGTCCTTTTTTTTTTTTTTTTTTTTTTTCCCCAGGCCCCAGGAGGGGCCATGGGGCCTCTGCCCGCACGCACACAAACACCCACACACACTCACGCAGTGGAAGTCATCAGTCCCCTTGCAGAGATGCCAGTGGCTGTCACAGACCTGCGTTCCCGGGGTCAGGCCTCTTAGAGCCCTGTGGAGGAAGCAGCAGTTCCATTATGTCACAGCAGCAAAAAATAAGGCGCAAGAAATTGTGGGTCAGGGGCTGCCCTCCCTCAGTCAGTGCTAGATGGGCGGGAGAAGGCGCCTGGTGCCGGGCAGAGTCCCGCTGCGCCTGTCAGGGCCTTGGAGCCTGAAAAGCCTGCGCCGAGTCTCCACGCGCTGAGCGTCACTCTCCCTCCTTGGCTGCAGCAGGCCTAGGGCGCCTCTGGCCTCTCTGGGCTGAGCCCCTGGCGCTGCTGGCTCTGCTGGGGCCTGCAGCTTTCTGGTGATGCTGCTTAAACTTCAGGCAGAGGAGACGTGTGTATTTTCCTGTAAGTAGGAAAACTGGCCATGGGGCCAGAGCCCTTGTGCCTTCTCCCCACCCCCAGGAGTGCGGCTCTGAAGGGGCGCGTGACGGGTGTCCCCCCACGGCACTCCTGTGGTAGCTGGTAGAACGTGAATGTCTTTGAACATGTCTCTCTTAAATTTTAGATTGCCAGAGAACTTGCTTTAAAGTCTTTTTTTGAAATTGACTTTTAACATTCTGATTTATGAACTAAAGCTCCCCGACTCGGCCCATGGCCATAGACTGGCCAGCTGACCCACCGTCCCAGGTGGGAGTCCTTGGGGGGGTTACTGATATCGGGCTGAGAGAGAGAACTTGTCCCCCAAGTTAGTTTTCTTTCCACTTCCCAGAAATGCTCAGTCCATTTTTTCTGAGTCACTGATTCCCTCCTGAAGTGCTGTGGCGTCAGGTTGAGCACTGTGGGCCGAGCGCATGGCTTCCATGAAGTTTGGGGGTCGGATACATGCATTGATTTACCTGCCTTGTTTTGATTTGCTGCCTGGGTTGGTTTCCAGCCACCTCAGCGCCCCCGACTTCGGTGGGACCACAGCATTCCCTTGGTCAGTGACTCACTCATCCTCGCTGTTGGATCAGCCGGGAGATGCCGCCAGCGGGTTTCCCGCCGCGTGGCTGTGAGCGGAGCTTCTGAGAGTTGTCGCGCTCCACTGCTCCCCAGAAAACTGAGTCAGGTTGACTTTGGGAAACATCTGAACCCCCCAGGCTTTGTAAGTTTGGCTTGGCACAGGCCTCGCTTGCCTGGGGGATGCCTGCTCCCGTGCCCAGCGGGCCTTGGCCTGGGGAGCTCGCACCGCTACTCCCCCGCAGCGTGCTGGGAGCCGGCGGGTTGGAGAAACACAAAACTGCTGTGGAGACACATCTTAGTCAGACTAAACGTTGACTTTTTTCTAAATCTTGTGGTTTATTGGTTCTGCTGGTAAATCTGGCATATTTCAATTTGGGTTTCTTTTAAAGCTGCTTACAGTGATGTGGACGTTAAGATTCATGTGATGTATTAGCTACTAACTTAAACATGGTTTGTTTTTTCAGACAACTTGATTTTAAGAAGAACGGTACAATGTAAGGTTTCAAGTCTGCCTGATCCAGTTTAAAGCACAAGGGCTAAAAGGATTTTTTTTTTCCCTTAAAAGAAGGATCGGAAAGAGCAAATGTTTTAAGCTATTGTATTATGTAAACAGAGACCCACCAAGAACGTGTAAACACGGTGGTCAGGCCCCGGCCGTGGGAAACCCGCTGGGCACGCCCACGTCCTGCAGACCAGCGAGCCGGAGAGCTGCGTAGAGTTGACACGCATTTGGCTTCTTAAAAGTGACACTGCCCGGGGCGGGTATGAGGAGGCCGAGTCTCCCCGAGTCAGGTCTGCTGAGCGCGGACAGGGTTGGCGTTCTCTCCTGGCGTCACAGCGCTCGAGCGACACGGGGTTCGCAGAGTAGCCTTCATTCCTTCTTGGTTGCTGGCTGACTTGACCTAAGTCCCTGCTCAGACTCTGTTTTCATAATATGATGGTTTGGGTGTGCTCTTCACGGACAAGCATCTGCTTGCGGGGAGCGAGCGAGTGAGCGTTTAGCCATTGCAGACAAGTTGTCTCTTTGCAATTGTCTAATATATGCACAGCAGCCAGTAGAATTCCCCTTTTTATTTTTTTTTCCCCGCAGACCATCTTGATTCAAAACATCTATCGTAACCCCCAAAACAGTGCACAGACGGCTGACGGCTCACACTGTAAGTCCCACAGTTGGAGGAATTTTTTTAAAACAATGGTGTTAAAGAGCCCGCTCTTAATTGAGACAAACCACGTTGGCTTCTGAGCTGCTGACATAGAGCTGTTGCAAACAGGACAAGGTGACGGAGGTCCTTGGTCGCGCAGCCAGAGCTTGATACGTGCGCGGGGTCGGGAGGCCGTCCCGGCAGAGGCCACCACAGGCCTCCCCTTGGCTGCCCTTTGCCGCCCGGGGGTCCGTGCGTGGCGCTTGGTGGAGGCCGTCAGCCGATCACTGGTGTTCACAGTGACCGAACCCCGGGCACTTACTAAGTTCTTCCTGCGCAATTAAGAGTCTTAGGAATGATTAGGAAGCAACAAGGTAAGTCGCCCAGGAAGTGTGGGTTTATTTCACCTTCATGATTTTTCCTCTGGGAAGCAGAGATCTCATGATGTGCAACGATCGCGCTCCTCGTCCCACGTCGCCCCGCCCCGGCGGCGTTTGGCCTGCCTTAAAAGCTGGCGCGGCCGAGGGGCCTCGTCCGGGGCTTGCGGGCACCCGGTGCTCTGGCCGGGAAGGCGCGTGCCTGCCGCCCGAGGAGGAGCGCGATGTTGGCACACCATGGGATCTCTCTTGCCTCGCAGTGGTAGGGCGTCACGAGGCAGCCGTCACCGAGGCCGCACCGCAGCCTCCAGAGAAAATAACTTGCTCTTTTTTCAGCGCTGAGTCTCCACCGAAGCGATCGTCACAGGAAACGGCTAAGTGTTTACCTTTCATTTTCCGTAATATAAAGTTGTTGCGTTTTGTATTTCAGACCATTGCCCTCTTGAACATTTACCGTAACCCTCAAAACTCTTCCCAGTCTGCTGACGGTTTGCGCTGTAAGTTCCTCCAAGTCCCCTCCCCGGCTCCCTGGGCTTGCGCGTCAGAGCCCAGTGTTGGCTCCACCGGGTCTGCCGCTCAGTGTCACGGCCGCCCTCGGGGTGTCCAGAGCTCTCGCCCCGCCCCCACGAGGCCTCCGCTGAGGTGGGAGCTCCTGCCACTCGCTGGAGGAGACCAGACAGGAAAGGCGCCGGGCCCGGGGGGCTGCTGCCGCGCTCCCTACCTCCCTCTGGCCATCACCCAGGGGAGAAGACGCTGGAATTACAAGTCCCCTTAGAGTCCTCCCCGGGAGAGCGCAGCAGCGAACGTTTGTCTCGCTTGCAGGAACGTTAAAGAACCAAATTGTTCTCAAATGATTTGACTTAAAATTTTGCTTATTATACATTTCCCCCCTTCAGACGCCATTGTTTTAGAAGCTTCCCCAAAGAGGGGCTTCCTGTTTGCATGGACCCCTGAGCTTTCCTCAACCCCCGGCCCTGTGCCAACTCAGTTTGCCAGAACCTTCCCACAAGGGTCTCCGGCTTCAGGCGCAGTCACTAGATTCGGAGAGTAAAGGGTTCCTTGGGGAGAAACGATGCAACCTGAGTGTTGATGGACGTGCCCCCGCCTTCCCTACTGGGAGACACCGGCTCGAGTCCCGCGCGCTGGTGCGCGGAGGCCCGTCCTGGAGCAGGGTGCATGCTGGTGTCGGGGGAGTGGAGGAAGGGCACCGGGCTCCTGTGACGTTCAGGCCTCCGCACCCCCGGGCACCCGCTGTGCGCTCCTGGAGGGGCGCGGCCGAGCCCTCGGGGCGGAGACTGACCCACACTGGGTGGTGGTCTCAGCTGGTTCCACCCCTGCTCCCCAGCAGGGAGGCTCGGGTTGCCCCGCAGTGCACGCTACCTGTGCCTGGCGGGGTGCGTCCTGCTGCCGAGCTGACCTGCCAGAGCGCCTCCCTCAGCAGTGTAGCCCTGGGCCTGGTTTTGCTTTGTTTTATTGTTTTTTTTTTTTTTAAGACTAAGACTATTGGGTGGAGGGGGTGGTTCGCCTGGCGCTGGCAGGAGTGGAGGGGTAGGTGAGGAGCAACCAGCAGACGCCCTGCGGTTTCCGCCGGGTCGGCGCGGGGAGGGGCCGGGCCAGCCCCATGTCTCACGTGCACGTGCCCCAGAAGGGCCCGCTCTGCCGTGTGCGTGTTCCTGTTCCAGGGCCACCTTGTCCGACTAAGTGGGGTCCAGGTCTCGGCCTAGGAAGGGAGTCGATTTCACCTGTTAGCCTGAAATGCGGGCGTCGACCCTTCATGGTTACAGCCGGCCAGGTTACCAGTTTCTCCAAACGGTCGCTTTTTTGACACAATCCTCTCCCTGTGTAAATAACCTTTTTTACGCTTGGATCGAACAAATGCGGGCCCTAGCTTAAAAATGCTGGTGTCAGAAAACTTTCCTGTTTTTCAAGTTGTGCTATTTAAAGTCATGTCAAGTCATTCTTTTCTTAGTTGACCGGTTTTCTAATCTGCCGCTCAAGTCCTTTTGAGCGGCTCGGAATTTTTAGGCAGCGCACGGGCGCTAGAGCACGTCCGCAGGCCACGGCGGCTGCGCGCTTCTGTCTGAGGCAGCGGACGGCAGCGGCCCCCGCACCGCGCTTTAACTCGGTCCTGCTGGCGCTCTGGGCGTGTGGCTGTAGGGGAGGCGAGCTGGCCGCTGCCGTCCAGTCGTTCGTAGGCCTTGGGTCTGAAGCGAACTGGCTTCCTGGGGTTTCCAAGGTAGCTAAAATGGAACGGCCCCACCCAGCATAAGTTAGCGCGTGACCCCGCGACCTCCGAATCCAGGTGGGGTCCGTGCCCAACCCCGGGCAGCACGGGGCCTGGGCAGACCCGGGCCAGGGTGTCTGTTGAGTTGTCGGGCCGTCGTGGCCCTCGCGGGCTTCCCCGCCCGCGGCCAGCTCTGTGACCCCGCAGCTTCAGGCTCGGGGGCTGGGGCCTGGCGGCAAGACCGGCAGGAAGGCGGGGGAGGCGCGCTTGCACGCGAGCCACCGCGGCGCGGACGCCAGCCTCAGTGCGCAGGAGCCGCGGAGAAGCGTGCAGCTGGCGGAGAGACTTCCGGAATAAAAGGAGAGTGCTTTCCTCAACAAAGCATCGTAGCTCGCTCGCCGAGGGCGTCAGCACGCGGCCGTGCCGGCGGCCCGGGCGTTCACGGTCGTGTGGGTTTTAATCGCATCAGAGAGGATTTCCGAGCGCGCTGTGCGGCCGACACTGGGAAGGAGGCTAGTCAGGAACACGCTCTCGCCACCCTGGCTTCGGCTTGTCTGAGCCCGATGAGAAAGTCAGTGAGACGCTCTGGCGTCTCTTCAATCCTAAGAGAAAATTTCCATTGACGCGAGAGTCGCCTTCCTGAGAACACGGCCCTGGGATGCAGATTAAAACTCGTCGTGATCTTACTGTTTTGGTAGCCAGGAGTGAGCCCGCCACGCGGGCACTTAAGGCTCGGCCACGCCGGAGCCTGCGCCGCCAGCCGTGCGGCCTCGCGTGCTGTGTGTCTTCTCTGGAGCGGAATGTGTGTGGCTTAGCAGTGGGGGCGCGGGGGCGCCGTGCTAACCCGCAAGGTGTCTGTCGCCCGCAGGCGCCGTGAGCGACGTGGAGATGCAGGAGCACTACGACGAGTTCTTCGAGGTGAGGGGGGCTGGCCCGCCTGTCGGGGGACTGAGCCGCGTCCGAGTGCCCCGAGTTGTGGTCGCGGTCGCGCGCATCCCTTGCGCAAACCCTACATCTCTGTCCCGCCAGGAGGTCTTCACGGAGATGGAGGAGAAGTACGGCGAGGTGGAGGAGATGAACGTCTGTGACAACCTGGGGGACCACCTGGTGGGCAACGTGTACGTCAAGGTAGGCACCGCTGCCCGCCCCAGCGTGGGGCCGCCCTTGCTCTGAGGGTCGGCAGCACCCTGGGCCCGGGGAAAGCGGGGGCGCTGGGCCGTTCGTTTCTCGTCAGTAAAACTGCCCGCCCTGGCGCGCCCGTGCGCGTGCCCCTAGCCACGGCACTCGGAGGCCGGGCTGCTCTGCAGCCAGCGCAGCGGCGTCGGGGCGCGCCCCGGTGGAGGGGCCCCTGGGCCTTGAGCCGCCTCGCGCACGCGAGGTCTGGGCAAGCACTTCCGTTTGCACTTGGCAGTTTCGCCGCGAAGAAGACGCGGAAAAGGCTGTGATCGACCTGAACAACCGCTGGTTCAACGGGCAGCCAATCCACGCCGAGCTCTCCCCGGTCACAGACTTCCGGGAAGCCTGCTGCCGCCAGTACGAGATGGGGTAGGTGCCCGCTCGGCGGGGCCGCGGGCTCAGGGCCGCGGGGGAGCCGTGAGCCCTGGTCACAGCGTGTGCTTCCCCCGCAGCGAGTGCACGCGCGGCGGCTTCTGCAACTTCATGCACTTGAAGCCCATCTCGAGAGAGCTGCGGCGGGAGCTGTACGGGCGCCGGCGCAAGAAGTGAGTGCGGGGGGCAGAGGCCTTGTGCTCCGGGAGAGGCGGGTGCGGGGGATTGAATCGAGGGCAGCTTGTTCCCTTAGGTGTCCCGCCCCTTCACCCGTGGGTTTCTTTGGGTCTCGTGGGTTGGTTGGTCTAGGGAGGCTCGTGTCAGAGGAGTGGCGGTGCCCGCGGGGCCGGGACAGCTGTGCCCGCGGGTGCGCACGACGGGGCGGGCGGCGTGCAGTCAGAGCCCGGGTGCCGGCACTCCCGGGTCCCCTGGTTTAGCTGTCCGTTGGCCCCAGCGGTCCTCGGCCCCCGCGGATGGCAGACTGGCGGGGCGGGCGGCTCCCCTGGCCCCGGAAGGCCCCCCCGGCCCCTGGCTGGCGGGCCTGTCTGCCGCGGTCACGGCTCCCTGCCCCCGAGGTGGCCCGGCCGGGCGCCGCAGCCAGTTCGAGGTTCCCGCTCGCCTCTGAGGTCGGGGCGCTGCTGCCCCGGCTGCGGGCATCTGCTCGGCCTTCACCGTGGGTCTCTTCTCCTGCAGGCACCGGTCCCGGTCCCGGTCCCGGGAGAGGCGCTCTCGCTCTCGAGACCGCGGTCGTGGCGGCGGCGGCGGCGGTGGTGGCGGCGGCCGGGAGCGCGACAGGAGGCGGTCGCGGGATCGCGAGCGCTCGGGGCGGTTCTGAGCCTGCCCGTGCCCGGTGTCCGCGCGGGAGCGCCGCCCACTGACCAAACAAGTTCCTATCGGGGGTTTTTTAAAAAACAAAAAAAATACAAAGATGGGTTTCTGAATAAAATTTGTAGTGACGCAGGGTCCCTGGCGTGGCTGTTCCTGGGGGCGCTCGGGGCCCGGGAGCCTTGGGGCCGTTTCCAGTTCTCGGCCGTGACCCTTGTCTGCTGAGGCGGTGCCCGAGCAGGCCACCTGGCGTGGGCGCTGCCAGGTCTCCCCAGCCCCGCTCTGTGCTGTTTGGGGGCCGCCCCTCCCAGAGCCAGCCTGGTGCCGCTGCCCAGCCCCTCCGCCAGCAGGCCCTGTGGGGTTTCGGGCAGTCACCCAGGCGAGCTTGACCACCGGGCCTGGCGCTGAGCCACGTGGGCAGGGTGGACACACGGGTCCCCGGGGCAGTCCTGGCCCCCAGCGCTCCTGGGCCGGCGGGGCCGCTTCAGAGCGGCGCAGTCACTCGGGAGGGAGGAGCCTTGAGCGTCCAGCGAAGTCCGAGGGGTGGGGTGCTCAGAGGGTCCCTCTGTGGGACCTGAGTCCCTCGGCGTGGGCGGTGCTGCGGCGGCTCCGGGTGTGAGCCAGGACGGAGCAGACACTGAGGCTTCGCGGTCGCCCTGAAGCAAGAGCCCGCCGCTCCCCGGCAGTGTCTTGGGTCCATCTGCCGCTCCGCTCCCCGCCCTGCCTGGTGAGTCCCCTCACCCGTCCCCCCACCTCTGGCCCGTCCCCCAGCTCCTGTATAAAAATTAATCTGAAAAGGACTTGGAGCCAAGCACCCCCTGCTGGCCACCCGCCCTCTCCAGCCAGGGCCGCGCGACACCCCGCCTGGGGGCCCGCGTCGGCCATGGCTTCCCGGCCCCCTGTCCGAGGAGAGTGAGGGCGCCACAAGGAGGCGGCAGTGACTGCCGCGTCCCCCCACCCCGCGCGGGGGGCCCTCCACCCCCCACGCTGCGCCCGGAGGCCTCGCGGCCCAGGTGGTCCAAGCAAGCTCGCTGTGTGTGTGCATGGCTTGGGGGCGCGCCCCCTTCTTCCCCTCTCAGCGTGGGGGGCGGAAGGAAAGCACCCTCCGGCCCTGAGGGCCCCCGGGGCGGGAGGCCGGCAGCCCCGTGGGGCGGTGACGCGGGGCCAGACCAACAGAACGCGTCTCCACGCATCACTCCTCCACACTCGCGTTGGGGCGGCCTCCCCGCCTCCCGCAGGCCTTCCGGGGTTCGAGGCTTTCAGCCCAGGCCCAGTCCGCCGGGGACGCTGACCTGGTGGCCCGGGGGCTCTCGACTTGCTCTCCTCCGATTCCACGCCCTCAGAGAGGGCTGGGCCCCGGACAGCCGCCCCCGCGCCCAAGCAGAGCGGGCTGCCTCCCAGGCCCTCCTCACCTCGCCCTCTCAACGCTCCCTCCGGGCGCCTCATTTCTGCATTTGCTTGGCACGGGCTGGGGGCGGGCAGCCACAGGCCCGGCCAGCACCCTGGGGTGCAGCGGCTTGCCTGCCATCGCCAAAGGCAAAATGGAGGACGAGCCTCCTGAGTGCGCAGTGTTCCAGCTGGCACTGCGGGGCAGGAGCAAGCCAGGCCTCCACCCTGGGAGGCGGCCTGCGAGCCGGTGCTTGGGAGGCAGGGCCGCGAGCCACAGCGGCTGGTCCTGCCGGCGGGAGCCCGGGGGCCACGGGAACATGGGCCGAGGCGGCTGCGCTGACGTGGCACGGGCGGGAGGGGGAGCCACGTGGGTGGGACCCGCTCGGTCGGACCCTCCGTCCCGCGCCGCGCCCAGCCTCCCGGGACGAGGACAAGCAGCGCTGGAGACGCGGAGTGGCCCGGCCGGCTGTCCCGGGGCCAGTGACGGACACAGGCAAAGAGGAGGAGCCAGGTGTACCCCTGCCCGGGCCAGGCCGCACCCCCGCCCCCCGCGGGCCCAGGCCCACCAGCAGGGCGGCCTCGCAGGCCTTGGGCCCGAGGGGCGCTTTTGAGGCCGTTTATTTCTCCTCTGGGAGAGCGGCCTTTGCCCGCTGCAGGAAACGAGGGCGCCCTGGAGCAATCCCGGCCCGGGCGCCACACGCGCCGCAGCTGCGGGGCTCCCCGCTCCGAGACGAGCCGGACCCTGAACAAAAACCTCGACTTCGAGACGGGCCGGGTTCCGCCGCGGCGCCATCTGCGCTGCTCCTGCATCCTCGAGTCCCCAGGGTGCCTGCGGGCCTCAGCAACCAATCCCCCCGCCCCCCCACGCACACACACAGCGGAGAAGGACCGAGGCAGGCGGCCCCCCGCCAGCAGCGCCTGTCCGGCCCGGCCTCCCGCGCTGACCCAGGCGACAGCCCTCAGCGTCTGAGCTGCCGCTGTGCCTCCTTGCGTCCCGGCCCTGGGCACCTCCCGCGTCGACCGGGCTCCTGCTTTCTAACTGTACCCCGGGACCGTCGCTCCTGCACCGCGCCCCGGTGTCTGCGCAGGCCAGCTTGTGTTGGACGTGGCTGCCGCACGGCGCTGGAAGCACATGGGGTCGGACAGGAGGGGGCAGGGGAGCAAGGTGCTGCACGGGGGAGCAGCAGGGAGCACGGGGAGGGGCGCTGCAGGCCCAGGGGCGGGCGAGCGGGCTGTTTCCCAGGGGCGAAACAGCCCTCGTTTCCCGCCCTCCCCGGCTCCCAGCGCCCTCCCATCCTGGCCAGAGAGCCCCTGCGGCCGCAGCCTCTGCTGGGGATGAGGCCGGGACCACCAAAAGGCCGTCCCTCGGGGCTGCGGTCCAGGAGGGGTCCTGGGACTCTTGGGGTGACAGCACCTTCCAGGGTGCATGAAGCCCCCGGGGGCAGAGAGCGGGCCGGGGCCCAGTGCGTGGGCAACCGGCATTCCACGCCAAGTCCAGGCAGGCTGGTTTGTGCGGGCGCCTGGCTGCACGCCGGGGGGCGGGGGGGGGCGGCTGGGGGCCCTCGGCGCCTGAGCGTTCCTCCAGCTCCCTGACGGCCAGCAGGGAAGGGCAGGTCCCCTCAGACACAGCAGCAGCTCCCCGCGGGGGCCGCCGGCCTATCTCTCAGCAGGGGCCTGTTCTGGCCTCACCGTTTTTAAGATCAAGTGGCTTATCTTTCTCTGACTTGTTTCTGGAGTTTCGTCTGTTGTCTGAAGATGGGCGCCCGTGTCACCAGCGTCACCCAGTCTGGCTCTGCCCCCTTCCTGGTGTTTGGCCAACACGCCACGTTGCCCAGCCACAGCCAGTCGGGCGATCTCACCCCTGTGGACGCGCTTTAGCCCCGTCCTGCCACCTATGTCTGCCGTGCTGCCCCTCGGCCTCCCGTCACCCGTGTGTTCACCCGTGTGGTCACCCGTGTGCGGCACGAGGCCAACGCCCGCCCACACAGACGGCCGCTGACAGCACCCGGTGTCAGAGCCGCCTTCCCTGCCGCGCGGGGGGAGGCCCCATGCGCAGACACGCCCATCGCCGGGCCGTCCCCTGTCCGGCTCTCTCACGCTCCACGACGACGCAGCACCCACACGGCGAGGCCGTGCCCGGCGTCCCTGCCCCTCCCAGGCGCAGCTGTGGCGGGTGACGCGGCCTTGACCCTATTTCTCCACCGCAGGACGCCAGCCGTTTGGGAGAGGAGGGCCTGGCTCGCCCGCCTCCCGCCCTCGGCCAGCGTCAGCTGGCGCCAGGTGACCGCCCGCTCGGGTTGCCCGGGCCAGGCGAGGGCCGAGGGGCGCCACAGGCTCTTTGCGCCTTAACACTGAACCCGCCTTCTCCGTCGGCGGCGTCCATGACGGTCGACGAAGTCGATGAAGTCCGAGGGTCAAAGCACAGGGAGCCCCTCACACCCCACACCTGACCCACCAGCAAGGCTGCGGCCCAGCGAGGCTGCCCAGCAGCTGTGCCAGAGGCCGGGGGAGACGTTCCCAAGAATGGTCCCCTGCGGGCCTCCCCGGTGGCGCAGCGGTTGAGTGCTGGGTTACGAAGCTGCCTGCGGCCTCTGCGGCGCCGGTTCGATCCCCGGCTGCTCCCCGGCCCCCGGCAGGGGTCCCGCATGGCGCGCAGACCTCTCCTGCCGCCCGCTGCTCCCCTCAGCAGTGTCCTTCGGTCCTTCTGCCTGCCCTGCTCCCCGCTCCGGCTCTGGTGAATTCTCTCACCCTCCCGCGCTTCTGACTGCACCCAGTGCATGTGTAAACAGAACAAACAAACAAAACAAATAAATAAAGAAATAAACATGCCTCTATAAAAAAAAAAAAAAAAAGAATGGTCCCCTGCGCAATGGAGGCTTCTCCAGCAAACAGCCCTGGGGCCCACAGGCGGCTGCCTCCCCTGCTCCTGCTCTAGGGGCAGCAGGACAGGCCTGAGGGCAGCCCCCGCCTCCACCTGGCCTCTCGGGAGACGCGCCTGCCCGGAGACCCAGCAGGACAGCCCGGAGGTCAGCCTGCCCCCACTGGGGTCCCGCTGGACGCCCCAGGAGCCAGTGAGCTTGGCGCTGAGGGAGGGCCTGCCCCCCGGCCCCTGTGCCCCTTGGGACCGGCTGCTGAAGCAAGGACAAGCTCTGCACCCTAGAGGGGCCTCCCACACAAACACCATTTCCTGTCCAGGCGGGGCCAGGAGTCCAGGGCTCTGGGCTATCCGCCTGGCGCTTCCCCGAGGAGCAGGTCCCACCTGAGAACTTTGGACTTGGGATCCCCCCAGCGCCCGCGGACAAACCTGCAGACACCTGCTTGAAATCCCAGCTCTTTTTTCAAACGCGTCGAATCACGTGAAGTTGCCGTTGTTGGCCAGTCAGGAAAAGCAAACAAATCGTTTCACATGGTTCAACTGACACCCCAAAGTGTTTGTGGGCGGCCAAGACATTCAGCAGGAGCAGAGACGCAGGGGCCACCACGGGGCCGCATCCTGACTCTGCTCCCCGAGTCTGTGAGCCCAGACAAGTCCCTCCACCTGCCCGTGCCCCGTGTCACCTCTGGACGGGGTCAGCCAGCACCGGCGCTGGTGGCTCTGGGGCCCCAACTAACGTGGCTGGGTTCTCAGCACAGGGTCTGCAGAGCAAGGTCTGCCGTGTGGCCATGGCCACGGCGGCTGTGACAGGTGGGGGCCAGGCAGGGGGCCAGGCAGGGCCCTGGGAGGCCCGTGTCACAGAGGGAGGAGCTGACGGTGTAGGGAGCACTTGCCTCGGACTCTGGAAATGACCAGTCATTGCTGAAAGGGGAAACAGACCTGGACACCCCACATTCACGGCCCCGCAGACTTACTCCCCAAATCGAAAAGAACAAAATACTTAAGGGGTGAGTTTAACAAAGGAAGTACAAGAGCTGAACCCCGGGAACGGCGGGACGTCGCTAAGAGAAACGAAAGACCAAAGACGAGCGGAGACAGGAAGACGCGCGGGCCGCGGAGCCGGGTCTCTGCCCGCAGTGGCCCGGGCAGTGTCCAGTAGCGGCGGCCCCGCGCACCTGGCAGTCTTCACACAAAGGGAAAGGCTGACCCCAAGGCCCGGGCCAGCGGCGGGCGCCCCACATCGGCGAGCCAGGCGGGAGCAGGAGCAAGCGGGGACACAATGACAGTGACGGGACGATGCGGCGCTGGCCAAGGCCCAACACGAGGCCGCGCGAGGGGCCGATGCCCCAGAAATAAGGCCTCATCCGGCCGCCTGAGTCTACAGCCCCTGGGGGAGAGGGGCCTGCTCAGGCCGGGAACCAGCTCTGCGCCTGGGGGCGAAGGCGGGTCTTCCACACAAAGGCAGCGTGAAAATGGCCCATTATGAGGCCGGAAAACACATTCAAGGGAAGAGAGAGGCCGCTGGGGGGACTTCTCGGCCTGTGAAGCTGCCGCAGCCTCTGCAGCACGAGTTCCATCCCCGCCCCGGGGAGCAACCACAGCCGCAGGCCTCTCCTGCCTCCCCGCTGCTCCCCTCAGCAGGGGATTTCAGGGGATCCACCTGTTCTGCTCCCCACTCTGTCTCTGGGGCGTCGTCTCACCCCCCACGCCTCTGGCCTGCACCCCAGCTCTTGTGTGCATGAATAAATAAATCTTAAAAAAAAAACAAGTCCGTGCCGGTGCCGCGCGGTCAGAAGTGGACAGACGGGGAAGGGGCACTCGCGGGCCTCCGCCGCGCCCAGGCCTCCCCCGACACAGCAGCCGCCGGGCGGGGCGGGGCGGGGCGGGGCGGGGCGGGGCGGGCAGCACCGAGCAGATGATTCTCCGAGGAGGTCGCAGTGAGCGCGTGAGGACGGGGCACCCCGGCCGTGCCGGGAAGGGCAGATGGGACACCGGAGGGCAGGCTCCCCGGGGGTGCCCCAAGCACAGGCAGGCTGCGGGGCTCCCGCCCACACCTGGGGTGCATGAGGCTCCCGCCGCTGTGGGGGCCGGAGGCCCGTTTCTCAACAGGCTAAACAGCAGGGCCTCGACCCCGCCGCGCCACCCCCAGGGCCCACCCCGGGGGGACATCCGAAAACAGGAACGTGCCCACAAGGCACTGCCTCGCGGCACCACACCCGCTGACCCGGGCCGGAGTCCAGCCTCACACTGCACTTCCCTGGCCTGTGAGAACGCACGCAGCCCTGCTGGGGCTCCCGCGCCCCCCACCCTGCGACAGCCGGTCCCCCCGCCCCCCTTGAAGGCTGGTCTCCGCCCCCGCCCCTTGACAGCCTGTCCCCGCGCCCCCCATGATGGGGAAGGTCCCCACCCCGCCCCCACGGCCAGTCCCCGCGCCCCACTTAGGACGCAGACTGGCTGACTCTGGATCGGGTCATAGTTTTGTATCAATGGTCACCCCATTAGTTCATCTTTCAGCACCTCATTGATTTTGAGCCTTTTAGCTTAATTCTTGAAGCTGACGGTGTGTTGCGACTTTGGGAAACAATTTTGTTTTTAGGAAACACACAGGAAGAATTTAGCGGCAGTTGCGTGTCTGTAACTACTGTGAGACCCCCAGAAAGCCAGACGGACGGACAGACAGGAGACAGGTGGGTAGTAGGTGACGGCCAGAGGGTCGGTGGCTGCTGGGAGGATGGACAGACGGCAGAGGACACACACGCACACAGAGAGAATGTAATAAAAGGATGTTTGTGTGTTTTTTTAAGATGTATTTATTTGTGCACACAAGAGCTGGGGTGCAGGCCAGAGGCGTGGGGGGTGAGAGTGTTATAGGGCAGCCCCGATATTGAAGGGGTTCCTGGCTGTGGGTCCTCACCCGCGCGCTTACAAGGGACTTAGGAATACTCCACGGCAGGCACACACAGAAGGTTCATAAAAGGTTTATTGACAAGGGAAAAGGAAAGAAGGAAAATGGACAACTCAGGGAGAAAATAGGGAAATAAAGTCTTTCATGCGTCCTACCCGATCCGCCGACCTGGAAACCCAAAGGCACTCTCAGCTGGCCGGACGCTGCGAGCTGGCGGAGAGCCAACATGGGGGACCCCCCCAAAGCCCACGTGTCTGCCTTTATACCAACCTGGCTGCTGAACCCCACCCTCAGGTCCCAGCCACCTTCCCTGGGGTGGGGATGGGATGTGGAGTTCCCAGTGTCTTTGGCTTTGGCCTGGGGTGGGGGTGGAGGCCACAAAGCCGGCATGGAATGAGCTTTAGGACAGCCTTTTCCCCCTAACAGGAGGACTCCCCAGAGACAGAGTGGGGAGCAGGACAGGCGATCTACTGAAGTCCACCGCTGAGGGGAGCAGCGGGGAGCAGGGGAGGCCTGCCGCGCCGTGTGGGTAGCTCCCTGGCTGGCCAGAGACGGAGCCCGCGCTGCAGAGGCTGCGCTAACCCGCTGCGCCCCCAGGCCGGTAACATAAAGTTTCCATCTGGGAAGCGGACGGAGGGCAGCCGGGGATCCCCTGCGCTGTTCTCGCTGCTTCTGGACAGGCTGGACACAAACATGCTACACTGGGCGTCCCTGACAGGCGGAGCCTCAAGCGCTGCCCCCCAGGCCTGGGGCAGGAGCCGGAATGTAGGGGCTCCCCGCCCCAGCTCCTCCAGGCTGGGTGCGGCGCCCTCCCTCCTGCATCCTTCCATCCCAGGGGCCCCTGTGCAGACAGCCCGGGCCGCACGCCCGGATTCCAGGGCTGCGGGAGATCAGGGTGTGGGGCGGACGGGGGTCGGGCGAGGGTGGGGGGGCCCCCACCTGGAACGGATGACGCGGCTGAGCCAAAGCTCCCAGCCCAGACATGGGCGCCCGCGTCCCTGGCCGCCCGCTCGGACCCAAGGCCGCCTGTCCGACCCCTGCTCCTGGCTGCGGCCGCCCCTGCCCCGGGGTTCTGGTTCCTGCCCCTGGGGGTGCCGCCCCCCCCAACAAGAGGAGGGTCCTGGGGCAGCGCCAGGGTCACGTGCAGAGACTTTGACGACCTGCGCTCCCGCCCCCCAACCCGTGGGCTGCGGCCTCGAGTGTCCACCGTGGCCGCGGGGCGCCCGGCCTGCGCCCACCCAGGGCTGCTTCTGGGCCCCCCGCGGCCCCTGGCCGTTCCCCGGGCGCCCGGGCGCGGGAGGCGCAGGGAGGCGGCGGGAGGCTCCAGGGGTGCGTTGGGGCCGCTGGAGGCGCCCCGCAGGCCGGGGCCCCCCGACCGCCCCTCGCTGGCCGCGCGGGCCGGGCCGGGCCAGGCCGGAGCGTCTGTCCCAGCGCGGTGCCGCCCTCGGCCCAGGTCGCGGCTCAGCCCCCGGGGACGGCCGGGCAGCGCCCCAGAAGCCGGAGGGGGCGGGGAGGCCCCGGGGAGCAGCCCCGCCCCCCAGGGGACACGTTTCCGAGCGCGTCGACAACGGTCATCGCACCCCGCAGGGGGCCGCGGCCGGGCAGGACGGACGGGCGGACGGACGGACAGCGGGCACCGGCGTCCACCGCCGCGGGGTGCGGGGAGGGGCGGGGTCCGGGGGGGAGGGGCGGGGCGGGGTCCGGGGGGGAGGGGCGGGGTCCCCGCGGGGCGGGGGCGGGGCGGGGTCCCCGGGGTGGGCGGGGTCTCGGGCGGCGTTGGGGGCGGGGCGAGCGGGCCGGGCTCGGCCCCGGGATTGGCCGGCGCCGGCCCCCGCCCCCGCCGTCCGCCAATCGCCTCCGCCGCCCCCGCCCCGCCCCCGCCCCCCGCCCCGCCCCCGCCCCCCGCCCCGGGTCCGGGTCCCGCAGCCGCCGCTCGCCGCCCGCCCGCCCGCCCGCCCGCCGCCGCCGCGTCCAGGTGAGCCCCCGCCTCGTCCCGGGCCGCGGGGCCCCAGCCCCCCGGGGCCCCCCGGGCCCCCCCGGGCCGGTCCCCCGCCGGAGCGGGGCCGGAGCGTGCACGTGGCCTGCGCCCCCCGGGGCGCCCCAAGTCCCCGCGCGGAGCGGCCGGGCCGGGCCGGGGCTGCTCGGGGCGCGGGGCTCGCGGAGCGCGCTCTGCCCGGAGGGGCGGGGGGCGCCTCCGCCGCGTCCTGGAAGCGGGGTGCCGGCCCCCCCAGCCCGGCCGGCGGAGCGGACGGCGGGAGGGGCGGGGGGGGCGCAGGGCCCTCGCCCCCGAGCGCGGCTCGGGCGTCTCCCCAGAGCCGGCCCCCGTGTCGCTCCCTCCCGCGGGCGGGCCCCGAGGCCTCCAGATGCACTGTGGGGTCCCCGTGTCCCCCTGGAGTCCCCCCTTTTCAGCGGGAGCCGCCCTGAGGGCCCTCGGCCTTCGCCCGTGCCCCCTGGGCGCGCCCTGGGGTGTCGTGGCCGCGGGAGGCCTAAGGTGCGGCGGGAGTCCGGGAGCGCGCGCCAGGTGAGCGCCAGGTGAGGCCAGGTGAGGCCAGGTGAGCCCCCCCCCCCCCCCGACGCACCTGCGTCGCGGGGCGGGGCGGGGCGGCGCGGCGCGGCCGCGGGTAGGATCCCTGCGCCGCAGGGGCCGCCGGGTTCCTTTGGCTTCTGGGGCGCCCTGGTCAGTTTCCATCTGCGCGCCCCGCAGTCCCGCCGGGTCACAGGTTGCGCCAGAGCCGGGCAGGCCGCCGAGGAGGCGGCCGCAGCCGGGGCGCCTGGGCATCTGCTCAGCCCGGGCCTGTCGGGCTGGGCGGGTCACCAGGCCCAGAGCCACCCCCTCCCCATCACCCCAGGGCAGAGCCAGGTGGGGGGTCGCTGTCCCGCCTGAGGCGGAGGCGCCGTGGGCAGCCCCGCGGCTTGGGGCGCTGATGGGGGCTGAGCTGGAGGAGTCGTGAGTCCAAGACCTGGAAGGGCTCCGGGCGCCGGGGCCACGAGGTTTCTCCGGCAGGCAGCTGGGGGGTGACTGCAGAGGCTGGGGAGTCCCAGCCTCCCTGCTGGGCTGGCCGTGATGGGCTGGCCACTCTTCTGGTGGGCGGTACCAGTGCCCAGCGGGCACCCGGGACTTTCCACACAATGCGCCTCGAAGCCTCTGGGGAGCAGGAGGGCAAGGCTGCCTCCCGCGGGGCGTGTCGGGCGCCCAGGTGAGCTCCCCGGGCCACAAGCGCCACGCAGGACCCTCAGGACCTGCGCCCACCGGCCACGGCCCGGGAAGCAGGAGCCCTGGGTTGACAGGCTGTGTGGGGAGACGCGCCCCCTCACCGGGCCCCTCGTGGCAGCCGGCCCTGCGGTGGCCCGCCCGGCACAGCCGACACCCCTCGGTTGGTCAGTGTCCAGCCCCGCTTGCTCCACTTCCTCGGCCCCCCCAGCCCGCGCCCGCGCCTGCTCCCGCTCCCGCCCGGGAAACGCCCCGTCTGCCTGCGGGCTCCAGAGCCGCCCGCCCAGTGGAGTGAGGGGGTGAGGGGCCCCCGACCGGCCCTGGCTCCCCCGCGGCGCGGCCATGGGGGCTTGCCCGAGAGCATCGACCGGGCCCCTCCCTCTTCTTATTTTGTTTCTGCGTTTGTCGCGCGGCTCGCGTGGCGTGAGGCCGTGACGAAACACGGGGCAGCTGGCTGTCCCCGCTCACGCGGCCCAGGGAGCCTCGCCACGCCCCAGACTCGGCCCCTGGAGCGGAGGGGCCCTCCCCGCCCCGCCTCGGGTCTCCTTTCTGCCTCTGGGCCCGCGGGGCGAGTCGGCTCCTTTCACTTAACACAAAACGGGGTCCTTGTGTCGAAACTTGATTCTTTTTTGGGGGGCCGGGGGGGAAATGTCTATCTCCACTTTCTGCCCTTTTATTTCCATCGCGCACAGACGCTCTTCTGCGCGCCGCCTCCTTGGGAATCGCTGACCCGTGCACGTGGCGCGGCTGTAAGGGGCCCGCGCGCTGCTGGGGCTCCCCGCGCTGCCCCGGGGCCGCAGCTGTCGCCTGGCCGAGCCTTCGGCTTTTAGGGAGCAGCGTCTGCTCCCGCGTTGGGACAAATCCATTCCTTTCACAGCCAAACACTTCTCCACGGCACGCGCGGCCAGTTGGCTGCTGACTCGTCCCCACATCTTGGCTTTGCGCACGCCCTGCCCGGACGCGGAGGCAAATACCCGCTTCCCCGCTGTGGCCTGTGTGCCCGGGCCAGGATGGCGCGCCCCTTGTTGGTTCCACACTCGGCCTTTCCAGAACCCGCCCAGCTGTTTCCCAGCAGCTGGGCCTGCGCTCGCTGCCTGTTCTTGCTGAGCTGAGCACGCGGCACCCCATGCCAGAGGGGCCGGCGCCCCACGCATCAGCCCCCACTAATAGCGCTTCCCCCCCAGGTGCCAGCATGCCATCTGAGAAACCCCAGCCCGAAGAGGGGTCTGCAGGGTGCCCCCACCTCTCAGGGGCACGCTCAGAGAAGGGGAGCCTGGAGACAGGGCCCCTGGGGGACACAGGGGCCAAGGAGCGCCTGTGGATCCGACCCGACACCCCAAGCAGGTGCTCCTGGAAGCTGGGCCGGCCGGCCTCCGACTCCCCGCACCACCACACCGCCCCGTAAGTCGCTGCTCGTCGCATCCAGGGCCTGTCCTCTCCGGGAGGGGGTGGGGGGGGTCACCCGGAAGCCACACAGTCCTGCAGACCAGGTGACCCTCCCCGTGGTCACTCTGGATGGATGGCGAGCTGGGGGCACTTACAGATGAGCTGCCTGGGGCTGGGAGAGGCCCGGGCCCGCTGTGTCGGGGCCAGCGGCCGGGACAGGGCTGAACGGACGGGACTGTCCCCGGCGAGTGGCCAGCTGCAGCGAGGCCTCTCGGTGGTGCGTCTGGGCGCAGCACGGGACTGAGGTCCTGTCTGCTTTCTGCGGACACTGGGTCATGGACACTGTGGGGCCTGGGATCCTTTCCTCTCCTGAGCCCGTTTTGGGGACAGACCCGCGGGACGGCTGGACCATGCCAGCTGGGCCCTCTGCTGCTGTCCAGCCCACATGGGGCCTCGCTGCCAAAACCAGCCCGAGGAGGGCCTGGAAGGCCTGGGCCAGGCTGATGCGGGCAGGAGGGAGACTCCAGGGCCCTGGCGCCTGGCTCTGGGGGAGGGGGCGCAAGGCCTGGCCGGCCCCGCAGTGACAGCCCCACACTTGTGCCTGATGCATGGCCCCTCAGCCCCCTTAAAGGCCCTGCAGGGTCTGCTGTGCCCGTCGAACCTGGAGCACTGCCCGCTGGCCCCCACCAGGAACACAGGCAGGTGGTCTGGGGTCCTTGAGGAGGTGGGCCTCTGGAGCTGGCCATCCTGGGGACCTGCTGGGGTGTGCCCCACGGGTGATGAGGGGCCCAGTGGGCGTGGGGGAGGCTTTGGAGCTGCTGGTGGATGGACCCACGGTGCTGGCCAGTGGGGACCTGGGAAGACGATTCCAGTCGATTCCCAGGGCTCGACCCAGGCAGCACAGCAGTGGGGGGGTTCAGCCTCTCCGCGGTGAGACGCGGGGCGGGGGTGTCCTCTGGGAGGTCCTGGCTGTCCAGAGGACAACTGAGGTATTACCCCCAGGGCAGCCTTCTCGGGTGACCACCTGCCACCTGGGCCTGGCGCTGAGTCAGGAACCCCGAGTTCTCTGCCTGCCCCTACGTCCTGCCCAGCAGGCTGGGCCTTGCTCCCCCGCTGGCCCCCACAGCATGGGCTGGCCCCGCCCTCCCCTCCCAGGCCTCTGCCCTGCTGTCCGGCTTTGGCTTTAACTAGTTAATGAATCAACCCACGTCGCGGGCCTGGCCTCCCTCCAAGGCCGGCCAGGTCAGGAGCCCTTTGCCCCCGGCCCGTTTTCCCTGCACCCCCACCTTGCCAAGCCTGCCCCAGGGTGGCCCGGGGGCTGTTCAAGCTCCTCTCTGCACCCCAGCAGCAGGGCAGGAGTCCCTGCCACTCTGGACGGCACCGATTCCCGCCCGGGCAGGGCCTGCGGTCAGTGGTCCTGGGCTCTTGGCCCTGGGGCTGCCCCAGCCCTGTGCCCAGCAGGTGGGGGAACAGGCCGGGGGCAGTTGAGGACAAGGAGAGGGGGACGGCTCCACGTCGTGGCTCACCCGGACAGGTGTCCACCCACCGCTGCCCAGCCCCGCCTTGAGGGGTGGGAGGGGCTGTGGAGAGGCGGTGGGCGCGGACATTCCTTTCTGTGCCTGGAGACCCCCTGGGGCTCGTCCTGACCCTGACCCCAAGGGCAGAGTGACCAGCGGCTCTGTCCACATACCCAGCGCTGCTTTCTGGGCATACTGGGCGCGGCATCGGGGGCCGAGGGGCCTGGGCCAGGGTCAACACCGTGCTCAGAGGGGGGCCTAGCGCGGGCGGGGGCCCAGGACGCACATGGACAGCGTGGTGGTCCAGGAACAGCCTCTGAACAGACAGGCCGCGCCGCCCAGCTCAGCCCTGTCGCTCTGCCTTTCTTGTCCGGAGTTTCACGCCAAGAAGTCGTGCCCATAACCGAGGCCCTGACCCTTCCCGAGCTGTCACCATTGGCGGCTTCTGCCGCTCTGGGCCCAGCACTGTCTCTGCCTCTGTCCTTGGTTTCCTCGGCCTGTGCTTTCTGAATGACTGTGCACCCTCTGTCTCAGGGCAAGCACCCCCAAGGTCTTGCCAGATATCCTGAAGAAAATTGGGAACACCCCCATGGTGAGGGTCAACAAGATTGGGAAGAACTTTGGCCTCAAGTGCGAGCTCTGTGAGTACCTGCCTGTCCGGCCCAGGTGCGGGAGGCGCCGTCAGGCCAGGGCGGGGTCACTGGTGAGGGACCAGGGTCAGGCAGGCGAGGCGTCCCCGCAGGTGACACAGGGAGCTGGCGGAGCCTGCCACCCACACCCATGGTCCGCCAGCAGGCGACACCCCCAGACACACACGTGCACTCGCACTCACACCCGACAGAGCACGCACACACGTGGCGCATTATGCGTGGGGAGCCCGCAGGAGGGGGCCACAGGGAGGGCGGGGGGCTGCCGGCACAGTGGGGGAGGCTGAGCCCGGCATGGCCATAGGACTCTGCTACCTGGCAGGACCCTGGGTGAGACCCGGCGCCCGCCCTCCTGCCCCCTGCACGGACCCAGTGCCCTCACGCGCCTGGCGGGGCTGGGTGGGGCCTGTGCCCCCGGGTGCAGGTGCCCTCTGCGACCACTGATCCAGGCGCCGTTCCAGAGCCAGCTGGGACAGGCTGCCTCGGGGTGTTATGATATGGGGGCGAGGCACCCCCGAGCTCTCGGCCTCTGACTCTTGTCTGGCCCCCAGTGGCCAAGTGTGAGTTCTTCAACGCGGGCGGGAGCGTGAAGGACCGGATCAGCCTGCGGATGATTGAGGATGCGGAGCGGGCCGGGACCCTGAAGCCGGGGGACACCATCATTGAGCCCACGTCCGGGAACACAGGTGGGTGCGGGCAGTGCCCTCCCGCCCCGCCCCCGGGAGCACCGGCCACCGGCTCAGCCTGCACAGCTCCAGGCACCGGCCAGCCGCACCTAGGGGGAGAGTCTTGGTTTCCTGGTGACAGCCCCGGCCTGGCCGGCGGCCGGAGAGCCCACCGAGCGGCGCCGGCAGGCCGCTGTCCTGGGGCCTCTCTCCTGACGCCGCGTCTGAGGCGTCAGGAGCTCCGTGACCCTCCCGGCCCGGCCCTCTGGAGGGGTGGGGGACAGGCGTGCAAGGCAGGGCGGCCAAGGCCCTCTCATGCCTGTGGCCCGCAGGCATCGGGCTGGCCCTGGCCGCCGCGGTGAAGGGCTACCGCTGCATCATCGTGATGCCCGAGAAGATGAGCCTGGAGAAGGTAGGTGCGGGGAAGTGGGGGGGGGTCCCCACTGCTGCCCTGCGGCAGCCGCCCACAAAAGCCTGCTCCCCGCCAGGTGGACGTCCTGCGCGCCCTGGGAGCCGAGATCGTGCGGACCCCCACCAGTGCCAGGTTCGACTCCCCAGAGTCGCACGTGGGGGTGGCGTGGAAGCTGAAGAACGAGATCCCCAATTCCCACATCCTGGACCAGGTGCGACACCCGACAGGCGGCCCAGGGGCGGCCCAGGTGGGGGCTGGCAGGGCGGCTGCTGCCCGCTCAGGCCCTGTCCTCACCGGGCGCCCCCGCTGCTCCGCACAGTACCGCAACGCCAGCAACCCCCTGGCGCACTACGACACCACGGCCGAGGAGATCCTGCAGCAGTGTGACGGTGCGAGCCCCCCGCGGTCCCCCTGACTGCCCAGCCGGTCGCCCGGACAAGCCCCTTAGCCTTTCCTTGGCAACCTCCGGCTCATCCTTCCCAACCAGCCGGAACGTGCCCGCTCTGCGAGGGGCTTCCGGAGCCCTCTCCTCCCGGCTCCCCGGCCCGCCCGCCCCCTCCGTCCCTCCCGTGTCGCGGGGGATGGTTTGTGGCCCAGTAGCCTCCCTGGGGCTCCTGAGTGCGGAGGGCGCTGGCTCCGGCCCGGGCGACACTGGCCGGCACTTGGCGTCCAACCCCGGCTTGGGTGCTGAGCTCGGCACCCGGGTGTCCTCGCCTGTGGAACCAGGCGATGCAGGAATCGCTCGCGTCCTGCACGGACAGGAAGTCCCTGGACACTTCTCCACACGCCCAGTGCCAGGGCCGGGGAGTCGGCACTCTGCCGGGCTGTTTCCCTGAGTGATTCTGGGGAGCCGCTGCGGGGAGGCTGGTGGCGGGAGGGGCAGGCCACGGCAGCCCTGTGCGGGAGGGCGGGCTGGACGTGCGAGGCACTCGCGCTGGCAGAGGCAGCCCTGCACGGGCACGGAGCCCCCACTGGCCGGTCTGCGGGGGCCTGCCTGGCCCGGCTGCCGCCTGGGGTCGAGAGGTGCCTTGTAGGCAGGGCAAGGCCAGTGAGCCCCACGCCCGTCCCCCACGGGCAGCTTCCCTGTTGGGCCCTTTGCGCCCTCACGCCAGGGGAGCAGGTCTAACGGAGGGGGATGGCAGGCCGGTGAGGGCCCAAGAACCTTCTCCAACGAGGCTCCCCCCTCAGGGAAGCTGGACATGCTGGTGGCCTCCGCGGGCACGGGCGGCACCATCACCGGCATCGCCAGGAAGCTGAAGGAGAAGTGCCCCGGATGCCAGGTGAGTGGCCGGGCCGGGGGCGATGGGCACCCACTTGTCCGGGGAGCCGGGCCAGGCCCCGTGTTTCCCGTGGCCCGACTGCAGCAGGAGGTGCGCTCCCCGCCCGGCACGGCCTCCGCTTTGGAGCAGAGTTCTCACTCCAGACATCTCTGCTTCGACACCGTCCAGTCCAAGCCGGTGGATGAGCCACCCGCCTCCTCTCCCGGCGGGGCACTCCATGTGGGGGCCTCCGAGGGCCTCCCCAGGACTCTGAGCTCTCGGGCTCGGTGCCGCGTCACCCTGCCCGGAGCGCCGCGTTCGGGAGAGCCCCAGCGCCACCCCGCCCCCAAAGGCTCCGGCTGTTGCGGGCGCCCACCCAGAGCTCCCCGGACACTGCCCCACACGGGTCGTGCCCTCTGCTACTCCGAGGGCCCCCCAGGCGCTGCTGCCTGCCCCATTCCTGGCCTGGGCCTCTGGGTTTCGAGGCCCGGACGGGGCTGCACCCCATGGGCAGATGGCCGGGGCACTTGCTGCATCTGCCGGCGTCAGACAAGCCCGGCCCTGCCGCCCGCAGATCATCGGGGTGGACCCCGAAGGCTCCATCCTCGCGGAGCCCGAGGAGCTGAACCAGACGGAGCAGACGGCCTACGAGGTGGAGGGGATCGGCTACGACTTCATCCCCACGGTGCTGGACAGGGCGGTAGGCGTCCACCCCCGGTGCAGGCGTCCCGCTGAGGGCCCAGGAAGGGACAGGCTGAGCGGGGGTCCCGCTGGCAGGGATGCTGGTAGGGCTGCTCTCGCCCAGCACCTGTGCCCAGTGGGGGGGCAGCACGTGGACCCCAAGGACCGGAGGAGCTCTGGTTAGGCCCTGGAGGCGCTGGCCGCAGGTGCGGGTGGCCGGCCCCGGTCGGTGGCACTGGGAGAGTTGGGGGTCGGGCTGCTGGCAGACTGGGGCTCCCCTGGGGCTCCGGAGCCGACGCTGCCTGGGTCCCGCCCGCAGGTGGTGGACAAGTGGTTCAAGAGCAACGACGCAGAGGCCTTCGCCTTCGCCCGCATGCTGATCGCCCAGGAGGGGCTGCTGTGCGGTGAGCAGGGCAGGGTGGGGCAGGGTGCGGCCCTCATCCGGGCCACCCGCCAGCAGCGCTCCCAGGCCCCGGGGGCAGCCCCCTCCCTGCGAGGGCAGGGCCGAGGTGCAGGAATTGCCGCTCCAGCGGGTCAGCGTTCCCCTGAGGAGGGGCAGGGCCAGGTGAGCCCCTGGGGCCGTGGCTTCGGGCCCCTGCACCGGCGTCCACCCCAGCCCGGAGCACCCGACTGCTGCAGCCACCTCATCCAAGGCGGCCCCGGGGCTGGGGCCACCCTGGGGGCTGGAGGGTCTGGTGCCCTCGCCAGGACCTCCCCCGTGGCGGCTCAGAACTGTCCACACCAGCCAGGAGGCCTTCAGATCTGGGGTGCCTGGGAAAGGGCACCCCATCTTTGAGCACTTTGCGGCATGTGACTTGGGGTGTCAGGAGCGTGCCTTCCTCTAGGGACGCATGGGGACATGGGGGAGCCACTCAGCGTGGCTGCCCCCGCCCCTGCCTAAGGAGCAGCTGCCTCTGCCCGAGGTCTCCAGACCCAGACCCCCCCGGGCGCCTCAGGCCCCTGGTTTTTGGGTGCAGCCTTCAGTGGGAAGCAAACCTGAGGGTCCACATGGGGGGCACACTCGGGGCTGCTCTGCGCCCCTCAGCCTGAGCCGGGAGGGGCAGCGCTTGGGCTCCGTCCACCAGGCGCTTTCCCCGGGACCAGCCCCAGCCCCGTCTGCTCCGGGTCTGCCGCTTTGCAGCGTCGGGCGTGGCCCCGAGCAGAGCTGGCGCTCGGCCACGGAGGGGAGCCGGGGAAGCTGGGGCCTCGCAGCCACCGTGCCGGCCCCCGGGGGCGCGTGGGCAGCCCCCCCTCCCCCCCGCTCCTCCCTGCGTGACCGGCCGCCCTGACTCCGCCCTCCCGCAGGGGGCAGCTCTGGCAGTGTCCTGGCCGTGGCGGTGAAGGCCGCCCAGCAGCTGCGGGAGGGCCAGCGCTGCGTGGTCATCCTGCCCGACTCCGTGCGGAACTACATGTAAGGGCTCCGCCGAGTCCCCAGGCCCTGCGTCCCCCGGGCCTCCGTCCCAGCCGCCCGAGCCTGCAGGACGGGGGCGGGGGGCAGGCGGAGCCGGGACGCCCGCGAGTGAGCTGGGGGCAGTGTCGGTGGTGGAGAGTGAGGCCTGGAGGCCATTCCTGCTCCAGTCACCGGCCCAGCCTCCTTTTTGGTGTCCTTGAATGGGCCCAGGAGGGGGCTCTCCCCAGGGGTCCCAAAGAGACAGGGTGCCTTGGCTCCGAGCTCGCGGCCCCGCCCAGCTGCGCGTGACCCGACGCCCTTCTGCCTGTGCCGCCGCCGGGGGCCTGCCTGTGGGAGGAGGGCGCTGGGCTCCCGAGAACGGTCCCTGGGTGGCGGGGGCAAGCCCGCGCCCAGCCCTGGCCACCCGGTGCCTGCAGGTCCAAGTTCCTGAGTGACAAGTGGATGCTGCAGAAGGGCTTCCTGCAGGAGGACCTGGCGGCCCAGCGGCCATGGTAAGCACGCCCGTGGGGCTGCCGGTGCGGGCCCCGCCCCGAGGCTCCTGCAGGGGCCGGCCGGCCCGTCACGCCCGCTCCCACCCATGCAGGTGGTGGCATGTCCAGGTGCAGGAGCTGAGCCTGTCGGCCCCGCTGACCGTGCTGCCCTCGGTCACCTGCAAGCACACCATTGAGGTTCTACGCCAGAAGGGCTTCGACCAGGCGCCCGTGGTGGACGACTCGGGGTCTGTCCCTGCCCGGCTCCCTCCCCGCCCAGCCCCCAAGGGCCACGTGGTCTCGAGTCCCAGCGGGTTGGGGGTGGGGGCCACTGGTCCACCCCAGGGCCCCGCGTCCTCCCTCCGGCTCTCCCGGCTGCCCCAGCCCCTGGAGTCCCGCATCCCCAGACACTGCCGACGGCCGCCCTCAGCACCGCAGCAGACACCGAAGGTCCCGGGGTGGGGGGCAGCTCATGGCAGCTGGCGGGTGCCCCAGGGCGGCCCTGAGCCTGCGCTGCCCACTCCGCAGGGCGATCCTGGGCATGGTGACTCTGGGGAGCATGCTGTCCAGCCTGCTCGCGGGCAAGGTCCAGCCGTCCGACCAAGTCCGCAAAGTCATCTACCGGCAGTTCAAGCAGGTAGGAGCCGCCCGTGGGCGCCCCTGACCCTGCACACCCCGGAGCGCAGCCTGCTCTGGCCGCCCCATCGGAGCCAGAGCTGCTCGCAGGTGGGGGGGCCTGTGAGGCCGGCGCCCACTGCGTCCTGACCGTGCCTGGCAGGGATGGGCCGTCCTGACCGCGTCCTGGAGGCGAGCCAGGCGGGCATCTGCAGTGCCCGCGGCCGTGTCCCGTCCGTGCCTAAGCACAAGATCTGGGGGTGCAGACCCCTCTGACCCTCTGGACGCAGGTGTGGATTCGCCTGTCCTCCCCGCCCCACACTCCCACTCACGCTCACACTCACGCTCACACGGCTGAAATATCCGCAGTCTGGGGCTCCCCAGCCCGTGGCCACCTGGGACCTGAGGCTGCAGGAGACACGCTGGGGCCCTGCCGGGCCTGCCGCCCACTCTCGTGCCGGCGCCAGCTTGCCGCCTCTGCAGTGTCCCGCTGGCCCGACCCGCCTCGCCCCTCCCCTGCAGGTCTCAGCCCTCCGCCCCCAGCCCCAGCCCCGTGTTGCTCCCCAGAGCCCTCGCGCTCGTGTCTCCCGTGTGTCCCAGCGTTTGCCCCTGCCAGACTGGCCCTGTCCGCGCTGGAGCCGCCGGCTCCTCCCCAGCCTGTGGGGGCTCCTGCCCGTGGGCCACACGCGGCTGTCTGGCTGCAGCCCTGGGCCAGGTGCTCTGGTTGGGCCCCCGCTGCGGGCACCGGTCCTGGCGCAGCCTCCTGTCCTCGGCGGTGGCTCTGCTGGTTCCAAGTGGGCAGACCGAGAGGCCGCGGCTGCTTTGCCCCCCCTCCTAGGGGCCGTCAGACCAACTGTCACACCTGGGCCCCCAGCCATGCCTGGCCCCTGCCGGTGCCCACGGGGCCCTGGTGCTGTCCCGGGCCTCAGGCCGCAGCCCTGGGCCCCAGGCAGGTTCAGATGGGCCGGGTGGCCTTCGGCCGCGCCCAGGTTTCCGGTCTCCTGGGCTCCCCTCTGCCCTCTCCCGGGGGCCTGGCCCCTCACCCTGATTCTCCCAGCGAGAGGGGAGAATCCCCTCCGACCCATGTTTCCCTGGCCTGGGGAGCTCACACCTCTCCATGGGGAAATCGCCTCATTGCCAGGGTCCAAACAGAAAGGACTCGAGCCGGTGGGTCCAGTGGTCAGTTCTGGTGTGGCTAATTGTGGTTCGGAAAACGCCCATGGGCCTCCCAGCCCAGGCCGATGCTCCTGCTGTGTCCCGGGCTGCGCACGCAGCCCCTGTGGCCTGCCCCGGGTGCTGAGGGCGGAGCTACGGGCAGAGACTCCAGGCCCTTCAAGGGTCGGCCCGCACCCGCAGGCAGTGACCGCGTGCCCGGGGAGTTGACGCCTGCAGGAAGCTGGCTGTGACCGGCAGCCAGATGAGGCCGCGTGGGCCCCGGGCTGCCCACTGCCCCGGTCCCGCTGCTTTCAGAATGCCAAGTGGCCTGTCCACCCCGTCCTTCCCCGGCTTCCCGTGTGCCTGAGGAATCGTTCCTTTTTGAAATTCCTGATCATTTAAAACCAGAAAGAACTGGCATCACGTGCACTGAGTCAGCCCCCGTGGCCGGAGAGCCCAGACGCCATACCCGGGGCCTGGAGACAGACCTCGGGGCGAGGCACCTCCAGGAGGGTGGCCGCGCCCCAGCTCCCTGTGCCCCCACGCTGGTCTCACCAGCTGTGTCTTTCTCGAAAACCCAAGAGGACTCTCCGGGGAGGCCCAGCGGGCTCTCCACGCGGCCTGGCACTGTGCCCGTGTCTGGTGGCTGAGCCCGGCCCCTGGTCACCGCGCCGCCCTTGGTCAGCAGAAGGCTGCGGGGGAGGGGCTGGGGCCGCGCCTCCTGCCGTCCGGGGCTGACGGCTGCTTCCCTTCCAGATCCGGCCGAGCGACCCGCTGGGCAAGCTCTCGGGCATCCTGGAGACCGACCACTTCGCGCTGGTGGTCCACGAGCAGCCCGGGCGTAAGTGGGGGCTGCGGACCTGGCGCCGGCCGGGGAGGCAGAGCTGCCCTCCTGGCCTTGGCCCAGGCGGGGGCTCTGTTCTGGGGACGCTGGGGTCCGGGGAGTGGCCATCCGACCGCTGTTCTGTCCTTGGCTGCACAGCGTGGGGCCAGGCCGGCCGGCCGTGGTGGGTGGCCTGGGGCTCCGCATGAGGCCCCCCTGGGCGGGCGCCCGGGCAGGCTGGGGCTCAGCTCTGTGTGGGGGCCCCCTCAGCGGCCTGTCCCCTCCGCAGACCCCAGCAGCGACCAGTCCAAGCGACAGGTGGTGTTCGGGGTCGTGACCGCCATCGACCTGCTCAACTTCATGGCCGCCCGGGAGCGGGAGCAGAAGGCGAAGCTGGGGAGCGCCTAGGCCCCCGCAAACGCGAGACAGACCGTGATCTCTGCCCCCACCCGCCTGGCTCCCGTGCCCCCGGTCCCTCCGGTGGCCGCGCTGCCCGGCGGAGCCCATCCCGCCCGGCTGGCTCTGCGGAGATCTTGCCGACGCGGCCGGGGTTGAGGCAAGAAAGGGCCTTTTCTGGAGCTGCAGCCAGGAGGCCCAGGAAGCCGATCCCCGCGGCCCCCGGGGGTGGTGCGGGCGGCTTGGGTGTTGGTGTTTTAATTGAGGTGAAATCCGCGGAACCGACGATGACATCTTCGAATCACGAATCGGCGCCCCACCCCCAGGCAGCGCGGCCGCGACCGGGCTCCGATTTCTCACCCCAAGTAGCAGCTGCTCCCGCTGGCCACTGACCTGCCTCGGTCTGTGCCTTCCTGTTCGAGACCTTCCTATAAAGGGCATCACGCGCTCACGCGGCCTCGTGTCTGCTCGCGGCACCGCGTCCTCACGCTCTGACGGCCCTTCGCCCACTCCCGGCTGCGGGGTGCCCCGCTGCAGCCACGCGCCGGCGCAGCGCCACACGGGCCTTCCGCACCGGACCCCGGCGCCCAGGAACCAGCCTGTGGTGCTTGCGGGACGTCCCGAGACAGCCGCTGCCACCGCGTCGGCTCCCGGGGGCGGGGGGCCGGGGGTGCAGCCCACAGGCGTCTGGGAGGGGCAGTGCAGGCCATGGCAGGACGACGTCCCCCGCGGGGTGGCATGAGGGGCCCTGGGTGCCTGTGCTGCTCTGAGCTCGGGCTGACAGCAGAGGCCAGGCAGCCTCCTTGCCGGGACGTTCTGGAAGGCACCACCAAAATAGAGCTAAACCAGGGAGAGGACGCGGGCTTCCCGGGTGGGGTCACAGAGGGTGCCCGGATGCGAGAAGGGGGCGCAGGGCAGGCAGCTGTGGGCGCCGCCAGGGGCGGGGCAGGGGGACACTGCGGGCGTCTGGTGCACGGGTCTGTGGGCGGGGCGAGGGCCGACGTGGTCAGGTCTGCTCTGTCTGCGAGGAAGCTCTGCTCGTCAGGAGCCCTCAGCCGCAGGCCAGGCCGATGGGACGGTTCCATCGGCAGCAAAAGACCGAGACCTTCTGTGTCCTCCACACGCGGCTTCCACCTCATCCTCCCAGGCGGCTGCTTCAGCACCGGCCACGCCGCCCACGTCCCCAGGCGCAGGGAGCAGGAGGGGCAGATAAGGGTGCCCCTCCTCCCTTTGTCAACACTTGCACTTGGACCCCAGAGGGGGGGCACCCCCGCACTCCGGGCGGCTTTGGGGAGGTTTGGAAAAAGGGCCCCTCGCCCCACGCAGCCCTGGGCGCACACCTCGGGGAGTCCCCAGGGCTTGGATGTGAGGCAGCCCAGTGACACCGGACCGGGATGCGGGCGGGGCGGGTGCTGTGGCCCGGGCAGCCCGGGCCGCCCTGCCCCTTGGCCTGGCCTGGGGGCTGGCCCTCCTAGCTGCAGGGGCGTGGGGTGGGCAGTGAGCTCTGCGCAGGTGCTGGGGCCCGCCTGAGGGGACGGGGGTGTGAGTCCTGAGAAGTCCCTGCAGGCGCAGCCGCTGGTTTCACTCCACCGCCCTCCACGCCCGCCGGGCCGCCCTTCCTCAGGGCACCTCAGCAACGGCCCGAGGCTCAGGACCGTGGTGCTTGGGTCCCGACCCAGGCTCGCCCCTGTGGCCGGCAGGGCCCTCCTCCCCGAGCTGGGGCGGGGGGCAGGGGCACGAGTGGCCAGCAGGAGGGCGCCCTTGGGTCCGCGGACACCTCGCCTCCAGGCCCCGTCCCACCCACACCCTGCGCCATGCAGCAGCCAGGGCCGGGCGCCCCACAGCCTGTGGAGCAGACGCACCACCAGACCCCGGGCCGGACTCGGGGGGGGGGGCTGCAGGAAGGGGGCTGGGCCGGGGTGGGGGCGCTGTGGGTCTGAGCCGGCATGTGGAGGCAGCGCAGCCACGCCTGCCTGGGTGACGTGACTGGAGCAGCGGCCAGCGGCTCGTGACCCCTGGACGCCGTGTCCCCACAGGACCTGCTCACCACGTGCGCCGGGGGGTGTCTCCAGGGCTGGGATGACGGGTCCACGTGTGTTAGCAAGACCACAACTAAAGAACAGAGAAAGGCGAGTGGAGGGTGGAGGGTTCTGGAAGCAGGCGGCCAGGCCTCCCGACAGCTGAGGCAGGGACCTTTGACGGCAGGAGCGAGGGCCAGGGAGGGCGTCCAGGCTGACAGGCCTGAGGGCGGGGAGGGCGGTCAGCGGGGGCAGCGGCCATCTCGGGCTTGGGCACGTGGGCCGCGCTCGGGATCCCGGCTGGGCAGCGTCCCGTGGAGGCCGGCTCGGGGGCCCGTGCGTGGGTGCCCGGATGGCTTGCCCCCGCCTCCCCCCACCACCGCCCCCGTGGTCTCACGGCCGTGATCCCGTCGTCGGGGAAGTCCCCAGGCTGGCAGGAGCGGTCAGAGCAGCAATGCCAGCCCCGCCGAGGCCAAGGAGGCGGCGCGACACGGCACTGCCCCGCGTGGTCAGAGGAGGGTCGGGGAGGCAGCGGCTGGTGGCAGCAGCCCCAGGGCCACCGAGTGGGCGTGGTCCAGTCGTGGGCATGATGGGGACGGAGGGGGGAGGGGAGGGGTGTCCCCGGGGCTCCCCAGCTGGCTGGGGCTGGAGGAGTGTGGGCTGCCCGGGCAGGCCCCAGTGAACAAGCTCCCACGGCCAGGGGCCCAGCCTGCCGTTTACCAGGGCGACCCGGGCGGGCTGGACACTGGGCCTCAGAAGTCCTAAGCTCTTTAGTCGTAACTTGGAAGATGTGTGACGTGCAGTCATTCGTCAGCGGTTTCCCACGTGAGTGGGTAGAACTGAAATTTGCGTTTTGAACCTGTATTTCCTGAAGTCATTTATTTATTTATGCACACAAGAGCTGGGGTGCAGGGGGTGGAGGACTCCCCAGAGACAGAGCGGGGAGCAGAACAGGCGGGTCCACTGAGACACACTGCTGAGGGGAGCAGCGGGGAGACAGGAGGGGTCTGCTGCGCTGTGGGGGTCACTCCCTGGCTGGGGATGGAACACGGGCTGCAGGGGCTGCGGACAGCTTCACAGGCTGGGGCAACCCCTGCGCCCCCCGGGAGGCCCTTCCCTAAGTCAAGGGTTACAGCTTGAAAGGGAAAGACGGAGGAACCGCGTGTGGGTGCCGAGAGCGCGCCAGCGGCCAGGGCTCGAGGCTCCAGAGGACGACAGACCCGAGGCTGAAATCACACACGGCAGTGGCGGGCCGAGGGCCGAGGGCCGCCGGGGAAGAACGAGGGGAGTGAGGCCTCCCCCGGCCGTGCCCGCAGCCAGGACCGCGCCGGGAGCCGGGTGGGCCCGCGGTGGCCACGTGGAGGGGCCCTGCCCGGACGGGGCTGCTCCACCCCACCAGGGCTAGATGCCGCCCGCATCCTCCTGCCCAGCTCGGTCAAGAGAAGGGCACCTGGGGACGGCGCTGGGTGCCAGAAGCCAGTGGGCACCAACGCTGGCCGCATGCCTGGCCCAGACTCGGCTGGGACAGCAGCACCGGGCAGTGGCCCCGCTCCCGCAGGGAGCCCTGGGCAGGGCCTGCACTCCGGCCTGATGGACGGTGGACAGGCCCATGGACACGTCTCCCTTCCTCGGCAGACGCAGTGCCAAGCGCGGCCCCTGGCGCGCCGGCTGCTCTCCGGCCAGGCCCCTGGGGCAGACGGCGCTTGGGCGTGCAGGCTGCTCGGGGCCCGCCCGGCCTTCGGCCATCACCCAACCATCGGCTCTCCCTCCCGCGCCCGAGCTCTGGCTTCCTCTCCTCACTGCCAGTCTTCTCCTCGAGCGTTCACAGGAACCCCCTTCACCCTAAATCTTAACTCCCCCAGCTCTGCTGATACAAGGCCTGCGGGCGGGGCTGCACCAGGGTCACTCCTGACCGGCCCGGCCCTGACTGTCGGGACCGGCCACGTCTCTCTCCGCTCACCCCCAGTGACGGCGGCACGCCGTGGGTGCTCCCTGAGCCGGGACACACCTTCTAAGCCCACTTCTCCCTTCCCGGGCAGCACTGGGGCCGAGCCGGCCGGGCCTCGGCCTAGTCTCCTCCTTGGACCAAGCGCTGACTCCACGCAGGGACGTCCATCAGGACAGCTCCTGTGACAACGCGCCCCAGGGCGGCCGTGCTCCCCGGAGCTGGCCTCTCACCTGCTGGCTCGAGCCTGGAGCACCAACGGGCGGGCTTAGAGCCCACAGAACACAGGAGGCCCCGGGGCCGTCTGAACGTCCGTCCTGGACACGCCAGCGCCCCTGGCTTGTGGCCACGACGCGGGCTGGGGGGCAGCACGTCTCTTCTCACTACTGTCACCCTGATTGCGTCGAGGATGAACAATGAAAACAACTGGATTTGTTTTCCTGGCAAGCCAGTGAGTAGCGGAGCACTCGAAGGGGAGGTCCCTGGAGATGTGGATGCAGCTGGAGGCCGCAGAGCAGCAGCCCTGCGCCCTGAGGTGGGGTTCGCTGCCAGCCCCATGTCCCAGCAGGACATGCCAGCAGCCTGCGTGTTTTACTTCAAACGGAAACGCACCGCGTGGTGACAGGAGTTTAGCGAATAAGACGTCCGTAAGGCGTGTTTCTATTTTTAATTTTTTTGCTTGGATAAATCAATTGCTTCACAAAAATCCCTTTTAAAGACAACAATCCGAGAAAACATGTTACAGTATTCACATTTTAAAGATTGTCAGCTCCAGACCAAGCAGGCCCAGAAGAAGGGGCTTGCGGGCCGCGGTCCCTGGCGGCAGAGGCCTCCGCTGCGGCGGAGCGGCCTGTGGGAAGGCAGGTGCCCGCTCTGCACGGCAGGGGCCGCCTGGCACCGTGTCCGCGGGCAGGACAGGCCCGTCCCACCCTGGAGGGTAAGCCCGTCCCTACGCAGTGAGGCCGCGCCACTACCTGGAGCCCGGAGCTGGGGGGCCCGGCTGGAGCTGGTCTGGGGCCGGGGAAGCACCCGCCCCGGAGCACGGGCCCAGCACCCCTCCAGGACCCTCCCGAGCGGCAGACGGGGGTAGAGCTGCCCGTGCCGGATGCAGCTCAGCGCAGGCGTTTCAGGTGCTCTCGGCCCGTCACGGCTGCCCGAGGGCCCAGCTCGTTCAAGGGACCAGAGGACGGGCCTCAGGCCGTGCCCACCGCGGCCCCTCCCCGCAGCCCCCCGTGCGTCCCTCCCACCAGAGGGGAGTCCACGGGGGGAGGGCTGGCTTGCACAGGGCCTCATTTTCAAGAAGTCCAACCAAGACAATTTAAGTTAAAATGACCTTTTAAATTTATGCAGACTTGACTTAAAATAGTAAAAACGGTTTACAAATAAGGAATGCAATAGTTGCTTAAAAATGTTATTTTTTCCCCAAAAGAGCCGATAGTCGAATTTTTCTTTTAAAGCTCCCGAAATATTTAAAAAGAAATTTCTACATATTTTGTGCTGCCTTCAAAGTTATCTGTGAAGCACTCTCGTGTAATTAACTCTAATTAATACACTTTTTTCGGGGGGATGTCAGTTCCAGGAAAAAAATCTTTGTTAACTCAAAGTCTCCCTCAGTGTAATGCTGGTCCACAGCTGCCGGCCGCTGACCCTGGAGGACGGACGACAGCCAGGCCCCCAGAGGCCCACGGGCCGGGAGCCCCTAGGACGGCAGAGCCTCTCCCTGCACGTGGGGATCCCCTCTGCCGACGGAAGCGGGAACAAATCAAAACTGAAGTCCACGGAACAGGGGCCACGCTCGCCTAGCCTGGTCACCGGAAGCCTCGGTCCCAAGGGAGCTCCGCACCCCACATGGCCACGTCGGAGTCGAGGGCTCTGGACATCCCCTGCGGGAGAGTGTGTCCAGGCAGGACCAGAGCTCAGCGTGTGAGCCGGCAGCTGAGCGGCCTTCTGGCCAGCAAGGGGCAGCAGCTGGCGGTGGACCCAGGGGGGCAGGGGGCCTTGTTCTGTGCCACCAGGCGGGGCCACTGTGTGTTAGTTAGAACAAACCTTCTATGCATAACATGTGGGTGGCTAAAAACCCTAAAACAGTGCACAGCTAACATGGCCTGGGAGCCATTCAACTGCAGTCAGGTTGAAATCAGACTGAAGCAGGTATGGTGGGAACTGGGAACTGATCACTGCAACCGTTCACGCAACTTACCTAAGTCCTATGTAGCAAAACCTTCAGACACATGCTTGGGTCAATGTAAAATGCAGTCTGAGCATTACAAATAAATGGTATTTTGAAGATACCAATGTTTTCTTTTACAGTAGTAAATGCCATTTACTACTCTGGGGTAGCAGAAAACCACAGAATGCCAGCAAACTTTGGGCAGGTTCATTAAATTTGGCCAATCCAGAACATTCCAAATTGAATAGTAAGCACATATTGTTTCTTCTCTAGAAATTTTATCTTCAATATAGTCATAATCCAATTCATAACCAATTTATAAAAATAGCTTTTTATCCAATAATTCCAGCAAGGTAAAAATAGGAGTTTCTTCTTCTATACAGCAAATCAAACAGGCTCGCTGAAGTCGGGGACCCGGGCGTCCTCAGCTGCCACCCGCAGCTCAGATCGCCCGCCACCACGGCAGGCTCGGCGTGCAGAGGCCTCTCTCGAGTCCAAGGGCTACAAAAAGGCGTCGGCCCCGGGCCCTTCTGAACCAGGAACTTAGGGACGCTGCGTCGTCCCCCAGACACAGCAGCGCCCCTTCTCAACCTGGTCAGGGCGAGCGGTGCCCGCACACGTCTAGAGTCAGACCTGTAAAGAACTTCCGCACAAACCCAACACACGCACGCATGCGCCCGGCGAAGGCGCAGCCCGGAAGCACGCTCCGAAGCTGACTGGGTACAAAAGTGCACGCTCCTACATCTAATACAAAACATCGGGCATGGCTGCGCGGCGCCTGCTGCCACCCGCAGCCATCCAGGCGGCCGGCCCGCCTACTGCAGGGAGTCGCTGTTCTCCAGGACCAGCCCGCCAATGTGGCCAGGGCCCAGCGCTGCCCCGCCGTCCCCCGTGCTGTCCACAGACTCGTCCTCGCTCTGCTCCGCCATCATGACCTGCTGCACGGCCAGCGTGGCCCCGTCCGAGGACAGAGACTGCAGGCTGTCCACACTCATGCTCACGGGCGCGGTGATGGTGACCACAGCTCCTGCGACAGAACAGGCCATGTCAGACGGGCCGGGGTGGCGTCTGGGCTCCACGGGCGCCCGCCTCCCACCACATGTCAGGGCCAGGTCTGCGCCTCCCCATGGCCTCGGAGCGGCGGCGCCCTCGACGGCAGGCTGGGGTGTGGTGGGGGGTGTGACTGTGGTGTGTGTGAGCGTGTGCACACGTGGACGTTTGTGCGCGGACTGCCAGGTGGAAGGAGGCCAGAGAATCTGAAGCGAGGCCGAGAAGACCAGGAGCAGGAGACAGAGGAGGGCTCAGTTTTAAAGGAACAAAGAAACCCCGCGGGAGCCGACCACTGTGTCTCCCAGCAGGAGCGAGCAGGCCACGGAGCCCGGGGAGCCGCCGCGGGCATCTCCGGTGAGAGCAAGAGGAGATACAGCCGACGGCAGCGCGGGGGTCTAAAGAAGCCCGCCTGGGTCTCTCTCTCCCCCCAGCAGCCCCTCTCATCCCTCTACACCCCCGCCCGCCCCCCGCGTGCACAGGGCGAGGACTGTCGTGGAGGAGAACATCTGGGGGGGAAGACACTTCCCACGGGGTGCTTCTGTCTGAACTTCTCCCCAGGGGACAGGCTCTGCCTTTCCCAAAGGGGCGAGGGGAGCGGGCGGGAGAGCCAGTTATCCGCGGGGTCGCTGGACAGACAGACAAGTCAGTAACCGCAAGTGGCACTGACCCAGCATGAGCACAGGCCTCTACTTAGCAAAGTCCGGAGGCGACGCCAGCGCGCGATTCGCAGACACTGCGCCAAACAAGGCAGGGCGGGAGCCAGGTGTGAATCCTCTGCCAGCCCCGGAGGCCTGTGCCGGCATGCAAGGGAACGCTGGGGCTTGGCACGGAGCCACCAGGTGATCCCGGCGCCCACCCGCAGAGCCAGGCTGCAGGCCCTGCCATCTGTGCACCCGAGGGGCCCCCAGAGGTCGGGCCTTGGTCACGGGCCAAGAGCCCTGAGTGAGAACAGAAGCCAGCACAAAGGAGCAGCCTGGGTACCTTGGCTGCACTGGCACAGTGCCTGGGAGGACCAGGGCCGCAGACACCCTGCCCAGCAAGGTAAGGCCTGGAGGCCCGGGTGCGGCCAGGTGTCTCCAGGCACCAAGCAGGCAGGGAGAACACTCGGGGCGGCAGAGAAAGACCCCGGGACTCAGGAGACATGACACCTGCAGCGTGTGAGCAACAGCACAGTGAGCGCAAGAGCAAGGCCTGGGGGCACAGCCGGACGACACGGCCTCCGTGCGGGCAGTGGCCACCTCCCTGCCAGGGAGCACAAGTCAGCCTTGAGGAGAGGCAGGTGCCGCCACCACAGCAGGAGACGGTGCTCGAGGCACGAGGCGCAGCCGGTCTGAGAACAAGGATGGGCAGCAGCTTCTGTGCGCAGGCGCCTCAGCGCGCCACTCGCGGAAACTGGGAGTGAGGGCTTTTGGTGGGGGGGAGAAAAGGTCAAAGGGCATGGCGTGGTGCACAACTAAATAAATAACGTAAAAATAAATATCATAAAAAACACGCAGGAGGAGGACTGGCGCAGCCTAAGGACAGAGCAGACGCCACCTGAAGGAAACATGGAGAAGCCGAGCCTGCCGGGCCGGGGGTCTGGTGGCCTGGTCTGCCCCCGCAGGGCTGGGGTGGGGCCTGCAGCACAGTGGGCAATGCAGACCACCAGCCGCGAGCAGGCGGCCCTGAGTGGAGCCCCGAGGGGGCAGGCAGAGGCGAGGCCGGGTGTGGACTCACAGGATCCGCCCAACACCCCAGGCCCAGGGAGGGAAGCCTCGAGGGGGAGGGCGGAGCCCCACACACACCCAGCCACACCAGGCCCCAGCATCCAGACGCAGGAAAGCGCGGAGACCACTCTGCGGCCAACCCTCCCGCCTACCTTCTGACATGGCCAGGTCGCTGGGGGCCGGCGGCGCGGCGCCAGAGGCGATGGAGTCGGGCCAAAACCTCTGGACGGGTCTGTTCTGAGCAGTCTTTTTCTTTGTTTTGGGAGTTTCTGAACAGCTGGAGTCCAGCATGGGCTGAAGAATGCGCCTCCTGGCGTTGATGAACCTGCACGGACAGCGACAGGGCTCCCCTCAGCCTCCGCAGGGCCGCGAGCTTCCACCGGGCAGCCGCCTCAGGGCGCCCCGCAGACCGCCGGAGCCGCGTGTCCCCTCCGAACAAGCCGAGAGCACAGCCAGCGAGGGCCGGAGTCCAGGCCATAGCGCATGCGGGGTTTGAAAGACCGGCACAGAGCGCGGCCCGCGGCCCTTTCTCACGTGAGCGGTGTCTGTGGCCTGACACTGCTGTCTGAGGCTGCCATGCGGCACCTCTCCGGGAGCAACGCAGGCCGGGCCGGGCCAACGCCCTCGCCGCCTGCTGACTGCAGCTGCGGCCACAACGTCACCGTTTCAAAAGACTTTCCAAACCACGAGCTCCTCACATGTCTGAGGTCACCAGTCACCGAACTGTCCTAGACGCCAGGCCAGCCCGCGACAGGCCCCAGATGGCGCCTGCAGAAACCCCCTGGACGCAGCAGCCTCTCGAGAGTCAGGGCTCCCCGGTGCCGAGACCCTCCTGGGAGAGAGCCGTGGAGACGGCCGGGCAGCAGGCGCGGGGGCACGTACGGCACAACCCTGAACTATGCTGAGAGAAAAGGCTGCTGGGAGGGAGGCAGGGAGAGCAGGGTGGCCCCTCCTGCCCCCGTCTCAGGGTCCAGGCAGCCCCGCTCCTCACAGCAGCGGGAGGACGGTCACCCCATACCGCCCCACGGAGGCTGCGCAGAGCCTGCATTGAGGGGCAGAGGTGGCCACGCTGGCCTCCCCTCAGGGCACCTGGGCCATCTCCATGTGCGGACAGAGGCTCGCCCTCCTGCTAGCGCCTCTCAAGCTGACCCATCAAAAGCTGGACCTTGGCGGCAGCCAAGGAGCAACGTCGGGGCCTGACAGGAGCAGACCCGGGTTTGGACTCAGGCCTGCTCGGCCGTCAGGTGGATCGCCCCCTCTAGTGGCCTCACACAACGGCGGCAGCAGCTCCGAGGTGCTTCACCTCCAAACCCCGAACGCACTGACCGTGCCAGTCAGAGCAGACCCTCGAGCGCACGGCCGCCAGCAGCAGCGCAGCCGGAGGGAGGCCCCGCTCGTCCGACAGCGTCCAGGCCAGCGCCGTGCGAGGCCGAGCACACACACCACGGAGCACAGGATGGAGGGCACCTGCGGGCAGAGGCAGTGGAGAGCCAGGCGCTAAGCCGTTAGCGGCAAGCCAGGCAGCTCTGCCAATGTGGCGGCGGCGGGCTGTGAAGTGCAAAGAAGTCATCAGATGGAGAGAGCAAGAAGGAGACCAGCGTGCGGCAACAGCAGCCCCCAAGACAACCGCCCCTAACCCAGCCACGCAGGCCTGCAGGGCTGAGCCCAGGGAGTGACCTCAACACGAGGCGCCCTGACGAGAGTCCTGGCAGCAGCCGCGCTGACACTGGAGACCAAGCCCCACTCAGTTACAATCATGCAGTGCAGCCACCACGGCTGACTGAGAGTGGACGGCCCCAGCGCCGGGCAGCAGGCCTCAGGGCGCACCCCCTGCGTGGACTGGGGGAGGCTCATCACGCACGTCAGGGCCCACCTGACCTCACGTCTAGCTCTAACAGCTAAGATCAGATGGTGACGCCCGTAGGCCTTAGAGCCAAAGCTGCTCTCTGCACACCGATTCCACCAGAGGAACTGGCCCCCGTGTCTGAGTGTGAGTAAAAGCGAGCGAGACACAGCGCTGGCCACAGGAAGCCCCTGCAGCTGGGCATGAGGGAGTCTGTGCGGGCAGCACTGGTCAGGACCCGCGGGTCCACATGCCGTGTGACCCAGAACCACCACAGGACCTCGGGGCCAGCACTGCCATCCCAGCTGCCTCCGGGCAGGCCCACGCCACCAAGGGCCCCGGCACGGGTGACACAGCCGCCCAGGCGTCCAGGTGGGAGGACAGGGGGGTGTCACTGCAGGGGGACGACCAGTCTTGGTGTCCACTGCCAGGAAGCTCACCCCAAAACCATGCGTTCTCAGTGAACACAGGGGACCTAACACAACCGCACACTGCTAAGGGGTGGAGGGCGGGAGGGGGCGCAGCGGCGGCAGGCGCCTTACCAGTTGTTGACCTGGAGAAGTGTCAAGTTTGTCTGAGCGGCAATCTGCTTCTTCTCGTCCTCCGTCGGGTAGGGATGCTGGAAAGAAGAAGAAGGGCATGTGAGCGTCTGTCTTCACAAAGGAAACCCCGGCCAAGCAAAGGACATCGTCCCCTGGGGCTCACGGCTGCCCGCGTGCACAGTGGGCACTGGCATGGTGTCTGCCTGCGCAAGCCCAGGGGGCAGTCTGCTGCGGCCTGAGTCAGCGACCAGGACAGCTGGCAGAGGGCCAGCGGCTGGAAGCTCCGGAGAAAGCTGCAGCGCAGAGGAAGCACTGGCCAAAGAGCTGGTGCCTGAGGCTACCAGGCAGCTTCCTGCCTGACCCTGACCTTCTGCCCTCCCAACACAGAGAGGGCTTCTGCTTTTATGCCCAGGCCCTGTGGCCTCCCTTCCCCGCAGGGACACGCCACAACTCAGCAGGTGGCGTCCACTGTCCGTACCCCTCAGCAGCACAGCTGGTCCCTCTCTCCCCCACTGGCAGCCCAGGGTCACTTCTGAGGACTGCTGAGGCCGGGGCTGAGGACCCAGACTCTGCTGGGCCATCCTGAGTCTCCCCATGAAATCCCGGCCAGGCCACACCTCCTCATCCAGGACCTCCTTGCAGCCACCGCAGAGCGGGGCTGCCTGCGGGCCAACCCCCAGCTCGAGGTCCCGTGCTCAGCCTGAACTGCTGCCCCTGATGACCACGTCTTCCTCTCAAACCCACTACGTAAAGCACAGCTACTTCCCGGGCCGTGCCACCCCGCCGGGTCCAGGCAGTTTCTCCGCGGGCAGCCAGCACGCCTTCCCTCTCCACCAGGGGACCCTGATTGAAGGAACGCCCCATTTCTGGTCCCCTCCCTCCTGTCTCCAGCGCCGGGCCATGAGAGCCACCCCACACAAGACGGCGCTGGGCACAGGCCAGCGGCCAGCAGACGCGTGCTTCGGGGTGCAGACGGCACTGCGGGCTGCTCACCCCGATGTGCTGGAAGAGCCAGGAGCGCATCACGTTGGTGGCGTGCTTGGGCAGGACGCCCCGTTTGTTCTTGGCCGAGCTGTCGTCCTGCTGCAGGATGCTCAGGTCCTGGTTCAACTGCAACTGAAGCTTGGAAACAATTTCAGTCTCGCATCAGAAGCAGCTCGGGACTTCAGATGGAGACACCCAGGTGCTGGGAAGGGCCTGAGCCCGGAAGGGTGGACACAGGACCCGCCAGGCTGAGGTGGAGGCCTCGGGCCGCTCTGCGCCCGGCCCTTCCCACGACACTCTCTGGCGAGGCCCAGGGCTGTCTCTCCGCAGCCAGGCACCTCCCAGCCCTGCACCACGCCTGATGACACCCCCCGTCCAGGCCTAGCGGACTCCAGCAACCCATGCCGCTGAACCAGGGCGGGGCCTCAGCAGGGGGGAGTCAGCTGCTGCTCCTGCTGGAACTCAGAGGTCCCCTGGGACCCTGGCCTGGCCAGCTCTGCAGGTCAGTTCAGTGGACGAATCCATGAACACAGTCCGAAGGAGGTGGAGACCTACTCTGGAGAGATGTGTCCCGTGTCACCCAGGCTTCCTCTGCATTTACCAGCTGTACCTGCGATTCTCAGCAGTCAAGGCTGCACTTTGGGTCTAGAACGCGAGTGTGTGTGTTTGAGGACCGAAAGCAAAGGGGGTTCAGCAGCAGCTGTAACCTCATGCTTGTATGAATAGAAAGCAAACATTTAAAACAGGTTCCAAAGCACCAGAGCCAAAATCTCACTTGTCTGCCTTATTTGTGTCGATTTCCTGTCTGCGCTTCCCCGTGCTGCCTCCGGCCGTCTGGGCAGGGCTGCTGGGGGGCTCACGGGCAGGCCGAGGTGCCACTGCCGGCTGGGCAGGGCTGCTGGGGGGCTCAGGGGCAGGCCGAGGTGCCACTGCCGGCTGGGCAGGGCTGCTGGGGGGCTCGGGCAGGCCGAGGTGCTGCCGCCGGCTGGGCAGAGCTGCTGAGGGGCTCAGGGGCAGGCTGAGGTGCCGCCACCATGCCAGGTAGTGTGAACCGAGACGGGCTGGGGAGAAGCAGCCCGCACCCGCAGAGCCCAGCAAAGCCTGAAGGGGGCAGGGGCTCCAGCAGGAAGACTTTGTGCTGGAGCCCTGCAACCCTGCTGCCCACCCAGAGGTCAATGTCTGCAGGCCAGGACTAAGACGGACCGAGGCGGCAGACTCGAGGCCAGCCGGGGGGCAGGCGCCAGGTGGCTGTCAGAGGCTCCCATCTGCACTGAGAGGACAGCCGGCAGCGCAGACACGTCCAAGCCTCCCCCACGGGAAGCAGGCACCAGAGTGGAACACTCAAGAGGCAGCGGGACAGGCACGGCAGGAGCCAGGGGCCTCACCCGTCCGGGAGCCATAAACAAGGACGCTTATCCAAGCAAGGGCATGAGGACAGGGAGACCCCGGGAACTGAAGACTGACTGTGCTGATGCCCTACAAGCTGACAGACATTCTGAGAAAGGATAGGGGCCTTTCAGCAAATAGGAAGTGGACAACAGGGACATAAACACCCCAGGAGTCGAGTGGCTGGGTCGGAAGGCCTGGCGCTCCCCGAGCTGCTCTTGGCAGGGGCCAGAACCTGGCCTTCCGCAGCGCCCAACACAGCCAGTGAGAGAGCCCGCAGCAAGCTCAGGAAGCTGGCTGACACCCTGGAGGCGCAGCCCACACAGGGCCCTGCCGCCACAGGCCGAGCCCCACCCCCCAGCCAGCCTCCATGAGGCTCGAGGTGTCCCCATTGGGCACAGTTGGACCCTGTCCAGGCTGACCTCTGCAGGTCACAGCCAAGGAGCCAACATTAAGACGGAATCAGGGGGCCTCCCCTGGTGGCGCAAGTGGTTGAGCGCCACGCGGTGAAGCTGTCCGCAGCCTCTGCAGCGTGGGTTCCATCCCAGCTGGCCGGCGAGGGTCCCACATGGCGCAGCAGACCTCTCCTGTCCCACCCACCGCTCCCCTCAGCAGTGTATTTCGTCAGTCTGCCTGTTCTGTTCCCCGCTCTGTCTCTGGTGAATCCTCTCACCCTCCTGTGCCTCTGGCCTGTACCCTGGTTCTTGTGTAAATAAATAAATCTTTAAAACAAACAAACAAACAAACAAACAAAGAAAAATGAAAAAAAGACTGAATCAGGATCTTAAAAAAGCACTGACGCGGGAGCTGCGTCACACCCGCGCGGGTTCGAGCAGTGCACGTGCTAGCTCGCCGGCGTCTCCCGCGTCAGGGTCCGGCAGGCCAGGGCTTAGTGTGCACTTTACCATGAGGGCGCGGGGGCAGGACTCCCCAAGGTCCTGAATGTCACCACCCTCCTGCTCGCCAAGTCGCCTCCTGTGCTCTGGAAGCTGCATCAGTTGGACCCCTGGGGGCCGGGGTGGCCTCTGGGCGGCATGGGGTGCTGCCTTTCCTCCCAGGTTTCTTGCTGGGGGCAGGGGCTCTAAGGAGCGCCCTGGGCGCACAGGGACCACCAACGTGACGCTGGCTGCGCACACACAGCAGAAAGGTCGGGGCGGCTGTCCAAGCTCAGGCCCAGGCCCACAGAAACACTCATTGGGAGGAATGCGCTGGCCTGGGGTTCTGCTGTGGCCTCCAGGAGGCCCTGGGGAGACGCGCCCCCACCACCTCAGGATGAAGAGGGAGAAAGAAGCAAGGCTTCGGCATTCAGGGAAGCAGGTGAATGCCCCGGGAGCGAGGCCAGGCTGAGGGTTCCCGCGGGCCCAGGGCCCCGCCCCAGCCCTTCCACGGAGACGGCACACACCTGGGAGTTCTGGATCCTGATGGTCCCGGGTGACAAGGCCTGTGTCACTACTTGGCCTTGCGGAGTGACAACTGTGACAGGCTGATAGACTGTGCCACCTTGAAAGGAAGAACAACAAGGCATTCCGCTCAATACACTTACGGAAGGAATAAAATCTCTAGCTCAAAGAACTCTCTTCATCACCTGCCATACTGTGCTGCCTGGCTGGGGGCTGTGAGTCAGCAAACCAAGTCCCCTGGCCCAGCAGAGCTCTGTGGGGGCCTCCTGCTGGGCAGCACGGAGGGGGGGCCCTTTTGCTGGGTTTCCCGCTCCCCTGTATTTGCCCAAAGGCGCCGGCTGATGGATTATCACAGACGTGCCGCCAAATGCAGCGGGCTCCAAGGGGGCGTGGCCCCCCCAGCCTTGCTCCATTTTGATGACGGCTCTGTGCCCACAAAGTCTGGGGGGGTCTTTCCCGAAGAATCAGTCTGCTTCCCACAAAGGTTTTCACTAAGACTAAGACTAAGACTAACGCAGCTAAGACTAACGCGAAAGTGCATTTTTATTTGCTCGTCATCAATTAATGGTGCAAGTTAAGATTTTCCAGGTGCTGCTTAGAGCACAAGTTGACACGACGGCCTTGGAAATGACGAGTGACTTGTGCCACAGCCTCCTTTCCTCTACACAACTTCGTGCTCAGAAATTTTCGGTAGAGACACGATTTGCAGGAAGGCATCTGTCTCTGAGAACGAACAGAAAGAGGCCTTCAAAGAGCTCGGGACGCGGCGCGGCACAGGCGGCCGCGTCCACCAGAAACTACGTGGCGGCACGTCTGCGTCCTGCGGCAGAGCCCTCCCTCCTGCAAAGGAGCAGGTGTCCTTCCCGGCACCATACCTGCCACGGTTGCCATGGTGACGTTTCCCTGCTGCAGCGCAGAGGCAGGCACCACGATTCCCTGGGGGCTGAGCGTGCCGGTGATGGCACTTTGAATCTGCTGCAAGTCAGAAACACGCCGTGGAGAGGTGAGGACTCGGCCCACGCGAGGCTTCCGGCCCCGCCGCCCACGTCACTTCCCAGGGAGACGTGCGCACGCTGCACACCCGAGACCCAGGGGCTCTGCCCACAACCCGACACATGCCGACGTCTTGGACAAACCAGAGGTGGGCGTGTCTGAACAGCCCAGTGACTACTAAGAAAAGTGAATTTGTACTTTAAAGACTTCCCCAAAAGAACTCCCCCAGCCCGGGCAGTATCGCTGGGGAGCTCTGAAACACTTGAAGGATGAACACCGACGTTACACGTCCCCTCCAGAAAACGCAAGGGGCAGGCGCGCCCTCCAGTCACCCCGCGAAGGCTGCACAGCTGGACACCAAGGCCAGACAGGGCCGGCACGAGAGCCACCACAGGCCAGGAGGAGGCAGCAACGGCCCCCGGAGCAGAGCGCGAGGCGAGCGCGCCAGACAAGGGGGTTTCCCCCGGAACGCGAGCTTGTTCAGAAAGATCAGCAGCGAGGCCCACCACGTTCACGGGCGGAAGAAGACAGTCACACATCCATGCAAGGCGACGGGAGAAGTGCCTGACAGAATTCGAGACAGCCAGACTCTCAGGAAGACGGGGTGACAGAGCGCCCGCCCCAGTGAAGCAGCCCCACGCCAAAACCCCCGCTGAGTGACAGGCCAAGCAGCCCGGCAGCAAGGCCTCTGCTGCCCACCCCGTTCCCGACAGTGGACATCCCTGCTCTGTAGAGCCGCCTGCCGGGGCGGGGAAGGCCAGCTGCAGGCAGGGGTGTGAGCCCTGTGAGCCGCGTGGGCTCCACAAAAGGCCTCATGTGGGGACACTCAAGACACTCTACAGTCAAAAAAATTAATTAGAAAAAAGGGCGAAAGACAGGAGGGGCCACTCTGCCACGGAGGACACCCGGGGGCGGGAAGCACCAGAAGGCCATGGCCACGCGCCAGTGGAGGCGGGTGCGGAGGAAACAGCCTGGAGGGCCTCAACACACCCCGGACACCCCACCGCGGAGCCTGGGGGGTCGTGCCCAGCCAGGCAGTCAGACACAGGACAGCAGCGGCATGATGCACCTAGGCAGGCTTCTAGAACAGTCCACACGGCAGCGGACGGTGGGTGTGGGCTGGGGCGGGCAGGGGCATCGGTGCTGCAGGCCGCTTCGGCGGGTCGGCGGGCACGGTGAGCAAGAAAGGTCTGACTGTTCACACCATCAAACTGTGCACCGAAAAGGGTAAGTTCTATGCGATGAGTATTTTACCACAACGTAAAAAAATAATAAATAAAAGGTATTTTAAGAGGGAAGGAAAGAATGGTCCGTCCTCCAGGAACCAGAGTCAGGCCGCCGTGGAGACCGAGGCCTCGCGTCACTCACTGCCCCCGCGGCGGCAGGCCGCTCAGTCCAGCCCGGGGGCTCGGCGCATGGGGCCTCGGGAGGCACGGCACTCGGTGCGCGGGGCCCCGGGGCTGGGCACGGGCCTCGGCAGCCGGCGAGTACCTGGGATTGGACGGGGGAGTACGGGCTGCCAGGCTCCCCACTCAGGAGCGTCTCGCTGTTCATCTTCGTCTTCAGACAGGCGATGTACCGGCTGCAGAAATCTTTGCAGAGTTCATTGACCTTTTCCAGCTCAAGGAGGTGAATACGCAAAACCTGGATTGCTTTTACCATCTAGGAGCAGAGAACATGAAGACGCTCAGACAAGGGGAGCCGACGGCGGCGTCACGACCGCCCCTCAGCTGCTCCTGGCGGAGGTGGCTCCAGCAGGGCGTTCACCCCCCCCCCCCCCGCGCGACAAGGCCTCAGTGCCTCCTGGTGGGAACCCCCTGCAGGGCGGGCGCTGCCCTCTCTGCTCCTGGGCTCAACTCTGCCTTTTGGGGCTCTGCTTCTGGGGTCCGGGGTCACGAGCCTTGCCTGCCCCAGCTTAGTGCGCTGTCCTCAAGGCTTTCTCTCGTGACTTTTCTACCAGCCTTCTACCAAGTCACCGGGGTGCTCCGCGCACAGTGCAGCCGCTAGCACCACCTGGGCCCCCTGCGGAGCACGAGCGGCGCGGAGACGAGATGGGTGACGCCCCCTGTGAAGCAACTGGGCTGGAAGGGCTAAACAGCTGATAAAAATTTAAGGATAAGCTAGACTAGGCAATTTGTTTGGGGAAAGTACTTTTTTCAAAGACCCCCTTCTGCTGATGAGGCCCCGGTGCAGGCTGTGGCCTGGGAGCTGAGCTCTGAGGGAAACCAGTGAAGGGCCCAGGCCCGCATCTCTGGGCCCTGCTTCTGGGAGGCTCAGCTGAGGCTGCACCAAGGTGGGGCCCACACTGAGGCTACCAGCGCCCCACCGGAACCAAAAGGCATGGCAGCCTGTGGGACAGCAGGACAGTTGCTCTGGAGGCTCCGCCGCTCCCTTAGAGGGCACAGAGGACCGAGTCCTGGATCCAGAGCTGGCAGGGGAGCACTGGCTCTAGACAGGACAGCAGGGGGGAGCACCCCTGCCCTTGTTGCCTGTCCCCGCTCTGTGCTGGCGGCCCCCACCAGAGGCTCATGTCGCAGCCTCAGCAGAGCTGCCCGCAGAAGAGGCCTGTGTCCAGGCGGGAGCCAGAGGCACGGGCTGGGAGGCAGGCGCAGGAGCACCTGGGAGCGTGGAACCCCCAGGCCATAGGGACACAGGCTCGACCCTCCCACTGCACCCCCAGAGGAAAGGCAGCGAAGACTGGAAGACTGGGGGACAATCGAGTTGTACCCCTGGGAACAGTCACCTCCCACACGCGTGCTACCCCTCTGGCAGAGCGGCAGACGGCCCGAGCTCCCGCCCGAAGTCTGAGGTGCGCGGAGCAGAGTCTGAGTTTGGAAGAAACGGAAACACAAAACATGCCTCTCACTTACTAAGTTGTCAGTTTCCGGGTCTTCACAAAAGAAGGGCTTCCCCTCCTTCTCTTGCTTCCTCACGAAGTTCTCGATGTCCACGTCGAAGCTGGCAGACGTGGTGCCCTCCGAGCCCTGTGTGGACTGCTCACACTTCTCAAACAACAAAGCCAGCAAGGGGAAGAGCGGATGCCTGGGGGAGGAGAGAGGCGTGGTCCACTTCGTGAGCATGTTCGGCACGAGTGGGGGCGCGTCCGTGCACAGGACAGCTTTGCTGAGAGGCCCTGCGGGCGAGCCAGCAGCGTGGAGCCCAGCGGCGCTTGCCGAGCGTGCGCCCATCCCACTGTGCTCCGCCTCGGAGGACCTCGTCGCCCCGAAGACACCCTGCACCGTGAGCAGGCACACGGTTCCCCAAACCGCACCGCGGCCACTGTCCGAGTCTGGGCGCCCAACTCTAGAGCGAGTCTGGCTGGGCGTGGCCCAGGGCCCGGCTGCGTCCCCGGCTCAGGCACGTCACGCTGAAACACCCTCGGGAGCCGCCACAGTCCCGGCTTTGCACCCCAGGAAGCACGGGCGCCCTGTGTCCACAAGCCCGTCGGTGCCGATCCCAACGGCTCAGATCAGGGCAGCGGTTTTCCGTTCTGGCCGGGCATCGTCTCTTCGACATAGGCTACCGCATGGGGCAGCTGCGGGCCTGCGCTGGAGCTGCACGCCCACGACTGGCTCTCCCTACTGAGACCGCTGCTTCCCTGCGGCCATCGGAGCCAACCCGCTACCCCTTGGGGTGTGCCTGCACCTTGTTCCTCCCCATGGCGAGTGACGCGCTACGGCACGGAGACGGCTCTCACCGCAGGTGCATACACCGAGACAGAGACTCTGTGTCTGGATAAGATACAAGCTCGGGACTTTCTCCAGAATGTGGGTGTCCAGCGCTCCCAAGAGCACGTGCTGGGAAGTCTACCTTTTCTCCACTGAGTGGCTTACACCTTTGCCAGCAGTCGGCTGGGCCCTGTCTGTGTAGATTCATTCCTGGATTCTCTGTTTGGGACATCGATCTAACTGCCTGGCCCTTCACCAGAGTCACATCTGAATCACTGTCAGATGACAGTAAATTTCAAAATCAGGGAGACCGATCACTTGACCTTCCTTCTTCTTTTGCAAAATGTGTTAGCTGGTCTAGTCCTTTAGACGTCAAATAAAGTCTAGATTTAACTTGCTTAAGTACAAGAGCCTCTGCTGGGACTTGGCCCAAATGCACGAGCTGGGGGCCGGCTGTGGGGGATGCCACGCCGCGGGGCAGGTGCGGGCCCATCCGCGAGCTGGTGTGTCCCAGCGCCCGCGGCGGCTTGTCCAGCTTTCGGCATAAAGGCTCTACATGCTCTTGGTCAGAGTCATGCCTGCGTTTCGGGGACTGCGAAAGCACTGTCTTCCCACTTCAGCTGCAGTCCCACACCCCGGGGAGCAGGGTGGGTTTCCGTGTGCTCCTGAGTCTCGTGGGGCATCTCCTGCAGGCCTTTAGCCGCCCCCTTGGAGTTTTCCATGTGCTCAACCCCGTCACATACACGTGGAGCCGGTCCCATCTCTCCCTCTCTGGCCTCGGAGCAGGGGCTGGGCCTCGACAGGTGCTGAGCCCCGGCCCACGCTGCCTCGCCCGGCTCAAGGAAGGCCAGCTGGGGGCTCTGTGCCGGCCCCCATGAGGGTGAGAGGGCTCCCGCCTCCACTCTGCTGACGGCACTATGGGGACTGGCTCCTGGCCTCGGGCAGAGCTTCCCACACCACGTGCCTGGGGACACACTGCCCGCTGCAGAACATTCTGTTCACGTGTTGCTGGACCTGGCTTGTCAATGGCTTATTAGTGATGTTACATCTAAGTTCACGAGCAATAACAACAATAATAAACTGATGCTTCACTCAAGAAATGAGGGGGAAACATTCGTTCTTTTCCAAAGACATTGTACACCTGTTCTTTTTCCTTGTTTGTGATTCTGGCAGGACTCTCCAGCACGCATGAGCAGATACTCCACACAGGCTTTGTTTAGATGCAGTTATACACTACCCAAGCCACCTGGGCCTGAAGATTACTTTCTTGCAAGGACAGCTAAAGCACAGATTTACATCCCAAACCTTTCTTTATGATTAGGAATAACCTGATCATCGGAGAGAATTTCCACGTGGGCCGTGACCCCACTGGGGCTCCTGTTCTGCCCACTCACGGCGCCCACATTCCATTGACCAAGATCTGGGCCCCCCCGGTGCCCTGGGCAGCACAGGCTACCTGTAAATGGCCTGCTTGTCTGCATCCATCGGTGTCTGCGAGCTCCCGGGGGGAGGGCTCACCCCTTCCACCTCAGGCTCAGAGCAGCTGGGGTCTTGCTCAGTCTTTAACTCGGTGACCACCTGCATCTGCGGAGGAGAAGCTTCATTACTCAGCAGGAAAGAGGCCGCTACTACGCCTGTCTGGAGAACGGACAGAGGAGACTACGACCGAGAACCTGCAAACAAGGCCTCTGAATCGAGTGCGCTTTTCGAATGGCTAGAAAAAGGGCAAATTTCCCAGCAGTGAAAACCTCTGAGGACTAATACTGTCAAATGCTTATGATTTTAAAAATCACAATAAGGCCGCGTGGAGGGAAGCGCCACCGCAGCTCACAGCCCCTGCTGCACGCCCTCACGCAGGCGCCCTCACAAGACACGTGTGTTATAGGAACACGCCGGCCACGCTTGGTCTTCTTTTCTCAAAATTAACTAGAACTCAACATGCTACACACCTGTGCTGGGGCTGAAATGCCCCGTCTCCCCTTAAATCTCAGGAGCAGGGCCTCCATGGTGGCGCAGGGGTTAGAGTCTCAGCGCTAGGAAGCGATCGGCGGCCACTGCAGCCTGAGTGGGATCCCCGGCCAGGGAGCTACCCACACGGCACGGCAGACCTCTCCTAACTTGCCCACTGCTCCCTTAGCAGTGGGTTTCAGTGGATCCACTCGTTCTGCCCCCCACTCTGTCTCTGGGGAGTCCTCTCACTCCTGCACCTCTGGCCTGTACCCCAGCTCTTGTATGCATGAATAAATAAAAATAAATCTTTAAAAATCAATCAATCAATCAATCTCAGGAACGCCATTCGAACTATAATGAACACAAATTGTGGTACGTTCAGAAGGCAGGGCTGTCTGCAGACACAGCATTCCGCAAAGGGGCGCCTTGACACACACGTGCTTTAAATTGCTCTCAACTAGCCACGTTGCTTATAACTTAAGAAAAAAGTGTTTAAATCCTTACACAAAAAGAATTGAGTTTACTAAAAAAAAAAAAAATTGCCACAACAGGGCCTCCCCTGGTGGCGCAGCGGTTGAGCGCTGGGCTGCGAAGCTGCCCACAGGCTCTGCAGCGCCAGTTCGATCCCCGGCCACCGGGCGAGGGTCCCGCATGGCACACAGTCCTCTCCTGCCGCCCGCTGCTCCCCTCAGCAGTGTCCTTCGGTCCTTCTGCCTGCTCTGCTCCCCGCTCTGGCTCTGGTGAATCCTCTCACCCTCCCGCGCTTCTGACTGTGCCCAGTGCTTGTATAAACAAACAAATAAATCTTTAAAAAAAAAAATTAAAAAAAAAATGCCACAACAAACTTCTCGTGGCCCCTGGCCTGAGGACCAGGGCCAGGCTGTCCAGCAGAGCCACCTGCCCGCTCCCAGCGCCTCCCCAGGGTTCCCAAGGCGGTGCCCCCAGGTGGTTCCCCCCACGCCCGCAGCGAGGGCGACTTTGCTGCCTGCAGATGCTAGGAGGGGCTTGGGGAATTGCTTCTCTCTCTTAATAAAAACAACTGTAGCAACCAAAATCCCAAGCACCATCTTTCTAGCGGAAAATCTGAGAGCAGTGTGCAGAAAATCCTTAAAAGACTTATTCAGGGTTTTTTTCCTTTTCGAATGTCTGTAAGCGAAGCGGAGCCGCGGAGCTAAGGGGGCGGGCGCCGGGCGCTTCTCTAAAGGGATGCCAGAGCTTCTGGGTCCTGGGGCAGTGCTGCTACGGAAAGCGGGGCTTCCCTCCCGGGCGCGCTCCGGGACCTGGGCTGCCCCGGGTACGGCACCAGCAGAGAGTGGGGGTGAGGGGGAGCCCAGGACCGAGGAGGGGCAGGACAGAGGCAGGGGCCAGGGGGCTGGGCGGGCAGGGCCCCGCGAGCTGGGCCTAGAGGCCGGGAGCTGGCCCCGCTGCTGCCCCAGGGCAGGGGAGGAAGGGCAGGGCCAGGGTGCCGGGAGCTGGGTGGGCAGGCTTGCACGGGGTGGTGGCAGGGGTCTGGGCCCAGGTGGCTGAGCCCCGGGAGATCTGCATTTTAGGAACAATCCCCAGGAGATAAAGAGCTTCCTGGCTGACACTGAACCCTCCCTCCATCCTCACACCAAGTAAAAACGCTCGCATTTTCCGAGTCGGCCCAGTCCAACAAAGCCCTCCGAAACAAACCAAAGCAGGACCGGGAAACTAGTCGCTGAGGCCCAGAAGAGCCCGGGGAAGACGGCAGCTGCGGAGGCCCCCGGCCCGGGAAGGGGCTGCTGGCCACAGCAGGAGCTCTGGGCCCCAGAGCGAGAGGGGACTTGGCCACCCCCCGCTGGGATTCTGGGCATGCAGGGCACGGCCGCGATCCCAGGTGTCCCCGTGAGAGGCCGAGTCCCTCAGCGGAGGTCCTCCCACGCCTCCCCTCAGGTCACAGAACAGGGGACACCAGGCGGTCGCTGTCGCCCGGGGAAGAAAGGTCTCAAGATCGGTGGAGTCAGTGGACCAGCCACTGCCCGGGAGCCCGGAAGGCTGCTGGGCAGCAGGAGTGGCCGGGCGGGGACGCACTGGTCACGCCCCAGACAGCAGGGCCACTCCGCTCAGGTCAGATGCACCTGCCCCATCCACCTGTCTTCACAAGCAGCGACACTAACACTGGTGAGGTGCACCCCAAGAAGCTCTGGCTGGTATGTCGGATTCCCGGCCATCTTGGGATCACTCGGCAACATCTTCAGTGTCTGTCCTGCCCACCTGGTGTGCACAGTGCTCGGGGCGGCACCTGGGCTCAGGACACGGGCAGTGCGGGCAGAGTGGGTCAGCACCGGCCAGCCGCGGGGGGGGGGCCGCAGCCCTGTGCTCACCTGCTGCCCGTCCTGGTAGCCGTCCAGGCTCAGCGCCTGCGTCGCCATCATGGTGAACAAGCTATGGCAGCGAACATCAAATCATCTTGAGCCAAGAGCAGAGGGCACCTGGGGAAACAAAAGCCGGAGGAAGAAGCGTGGTCAGTAAAGCGGGTGCTCGGCCCCACAGACAGTGGCTCAGGGGTGCCCACAGTCACATGTTTACAAAGTGGCCCTTTAGCCTTTAAGGAGAGGTAGGGGGTGGGGGGCAGGCAGCCAGCCAGAAGCCATGCACCCCCTGTGGACAGATGCTCGGGGGCCTTGGGCGTGACTGGGGGTGCAGGAAACCACGGGAGGCCTGCGTCAGAGGGCCCCTGGACGCTCCATGAATGGCAGGGCACAGGGCCGGGGGCCGCCCAGGGCTCCCACCTGCGGAGCAGGGCCGCACGTCCTGCAAGGGGCCGACGGCGAGGCGCGGGGTCTTCCGCCTGTGGAGAGAGCAGCATGTCCGGGAGGAAACGGCGAACAAGGGCCACCACCGTCAACCCGGCGGCCATGGGGACGGCCCGCTCCTGTGGAGAGTCGCTCTGAGACGGGCCCAGCCCTCCCCCAGGTCCTGCCAATGGGGATGGCTTACAAGTAGGGTCTGCAGATGGCAAGGATCTCGAGGCCCTCAATTCCCTGTCCTCTATGGGGCAGACGTGAGGCCCACAGGGACGTGGAACGGTGAAGACGGGACAGAGATGGGTGGGTACCCACTAGCCCAGGGCACCAGGCCTCCTGGGAGCTGGAAGAGGCAGGAAGGGTCCTCCCCTGGAGCCTCCGAGGTAGCCCAGCCCCTCAACACCTGGATTCAGGCATCTGGTCACCAGAGCCGTGAGTCAACATAGCACCGCTGCTCTCGCTGCCGTCTGCGGGCCTGCTCGGCAGCCCCGGACACCACGGAGCATGTGAAGTCACAAGACTGCGGGAGAGGCCACGGGAGAAGCCACCAGGGGAGCGGAGGGCCTGGGAGGGTCAGCCTCATCCATGCCTCTGAGGGTCACGAACAGGAGGGTCACTTCCTGGCAGGGCGTCCCCAAGATGGGAGAGGGGAGGGGACAGGCAATCACTGTTGGGGAGGCTCTAGGGACCCATCACAAAGTTGCCCTTATGCCCCCAAACTGAAGACAGAGGCCCCGGACCTCTGTGAGCCTATCAGTGAATCCTGACCCAGACTTGGCTTTCCCCAGGGCCCTGACTCCCCCACCCCAGGGCCCTGACTCCCCACCCCAGGGCCCTGACTCCCCCGCCCCAGGGCCCTGACTCCCCCACCCCAGGACCCTGACTCCCCCTAGTGTCCCGACTCCTCCCCAGGGCCCTGACTCCCCACCCAGAGAAGCAACTCCCACCTTTGAAGCCTCCAGCACCTGGGGGGCCCAGGGCGCTGCCCCTCTTTACTCTCACAGGGCCTTGGCGTGAGACGGGGAGAGGCCACGGTGCTGATGCTTCCAGCGCCCGCCGCCAAGCAGGCTGACCCGTGGCTCTGCTGCTTAGAGAAGGGGTCGCTGCCCCGCGTCATCGCCCAAAGCCCTCGCCAGCTCCCGGCCCAGGGAGGGCTTTGCCCCTGAAGCCTGCTGGGGCACCTGTCCCCCCCACCCCCCCCCACGCTGTGCAAGTCACAGGGGCAGCTGGGATTGGCCTGGGAGAGCGGACCTGAAGCCACGCCATCCCGCCACCTTCTGCGGAGTCTCGGCCGGCGCCCGCATTCTGGCCGCAGCCCTGCAGGTCTCACTGGCTTACTTCCTCCACACGGTCCTAGAGACCTCGCCCTGCCGAGTCCCCAACAGCCGGCACGTTCCCCGGGGCCGTGGTGTAGAGGAGCCGGGCCTGGCCGAGCCTCATGGCCATGGCCTTGGGGCCGGCTCTCATTCCAGCCTGGTGCCTGGCTGGACCCACCTGCCACCGGCGGTCCTCAGGCATCCCCAGGGGACAGTCACCTAGAGAGCAAGACCGAAGGCTCCGTGGCGACCAGGCCCACAGCCCACTCTGACTGAGAAAGGGCCTCGAGAGGACCCTCCCCGCACGGGCACCTGTGCCTGGAGGCTGAGGGCCAGAGGGACACGAAATGTCAAACTGACGAGAGGACAGACATGACCCTCCCTGAGTCTCCCCTGCCCAGGCCGGACAATCCTGGCTGCGCCGCGGGGAGGCCTGCTCCAAGGCCGTGGGTCCAGACGCGCCGGGCCCTTCTGCGCCCCCGTGCCAGGACGGACTGGGCTTCGAGGCGCTCGGCCACACTCCCAGCTGCTGCGACTACTTTCCTTTCCTGGTTTTTTTTTTTTTTTTTTTTAATTATTTTTAATTTTCCTACACAGTTGTTCTTTTTACACAACATTCAGCTCCTCCCTCGGGTGTGGTCCCTTTAGTCTCCCGCCACCGCCTCAGCTGGGACCATCACCTGGCCCCGAGTGCCCTGCCCGCCTGTTTTGTTTTTAAAGATTTATTTATTTACGCATACAAGAGCTGGGGCACAGGCCAGAGGTGCGGGGGTGAGAGGACTCACCAGAGACAGAGTGGGGAGCAGAGCAGGCAGATCTACTGACATACACTGCTGAGGGGAGCAGCGGGGAGTCAGGAGAGGTCTGCTGAGCCCTGTGGGTAGCTCCCTGGCCAGGGATCGAACTCGTGCTGCAGAGGCTGTGGACAGCTTCATAAGTTGTGTCTTAATCACTTGCGCCACCAGGGAGGTCCTCTCCCTCCCCCACCCCCCGGCTGTGTGCCCAGATCTCCGGCTGCCTGCAAGTTTGTCTCTTCCCTGACCCTCTGTTGGGTCTCCCTACATCCCCTGTGAGAGAGGCCCTTGGTGTCTTTCTTTCTCCCTCTGACTCGTTCCAGCTCCACCCATGTGGCTGCAGATGGCGTGAGTTTATCTTTTTGATGGCAGAGTAGTATTCCACGGTGTGTACAGACCACATCTGCTTGATCCAGCCACCTGTTCTGGGCATTTAGGTTGTTTCTGTATCTCAGCTATCATGAATGGCGGGACAGTGAACACAGGAGTGCACGTGTCCTTTTGAATTAATGTTTTTGTGACCTTTGGGTGGATTCTTAGGAGTGGAATTGCTGGGTCATAGGGAAGGTCCATTTTTAGTACTGTGAGGGTCCCACACACAGCGGCAACTAAACGCAACTCATGACATGGGCATACGTTAAGTTCTAGAGGAAAAAGACAGCCCTGAGAAAGCCACTTGGTTGGGAGACTGAAATAGTTCCATGACTGTTTTCCAGCCCCTTCCCACAGGCCCCTGTGCCCCAGCACACGGGAACAGTCACCACGCCCGGGAGGAGGGGTCGTGGCGTCCCTGGGACGTGACTGAGTTTCCCCCTGGAGTGGGCCTGGACACCTGAACTCCTCCCCAGAGACCCGTTCACATCTGGAGCGAGGAACCCACGGAGAGCGGCCAGGTGGACTCTGCGGCACAAGCCAGTGAACACCCGGCCTCCGTCACCGGCTGGAACACCAGGCGCAGGGACCTGTGTTACCCACTATTCTAAAACAGGGGTGAGGTTTGCTTGCAAAGCCAAGCCCAGAGGCGCGAGCGGCAGCGGTGGCAGTGATGACAAAACCGGCTGCGCCACTCGGGGGCCGGCGGGAGGGACGAGCCATGGCGGGCGCTGGCCACTCAAGCCGAGACCCAGGCCGAGCTATCCGGCATTGGCTCCCACCGCTCTTCTGCGCGCCATCCACGACCGGACACAGGCACGCAGGCTGACGTCACACGCGGCTCAGGGCAGAGGGGGCCCACAGATGGGGAGGACACCTCCCCGACAGCGGTGCTCCTTGATGGGGCTCAGACCCAGCACCTTCCGTCTGCCTCGGCGGGGCAGCAGCCTTCTCCGTGCGGGCCGGACGGTAGGCCTTGGGGCAGCGGGCACCTGATCCCTTGAGATCTTGCTGACGCCTTGAGTTTGGTTCTGACGCGCACGAGGCCTCACTGGGAGACGCGACCGTCTTCCCGGTCCAGCGACCGTGGCGCGGCTGTGCCACCGAGAAGGGCGCTCCGCCTCGCGCCGGAGCTGGCACCAGAGCTGGCACGTGGGGAAGGCAGATGGGCCGGGAGCCACATTTTGCCAGAGGGGCTTTCTGCCGAGGCCCGCCAAACCTTTCTGCGAGGACCCCTCCGCTCTACTTTCTCCCAGGGCGCGCAGACTGTCAGGCCTGGGTCCCCAGAAGGGAGCCGCACGGTCCTGGCCCACGCCGGGTGTGGGTGGCCCCCGCCCCGAATCCGGCTGTGCGTCGGTGGGCTCCCCTGCGTCCTTCCACCCCCGAGCTTGCACTCTCAGCCTTGGTGACGCTGCTCCCACCGACACGCCTGATGCCACAGGCGCGCCCCGACCCTCCAAGCAGCCCCTGGCCCACGGGGTTTCCTTGCCCAGCCGGGCAGCGGCCTAGCCGCATTCAGAAGCTACCGCCCGCCCCACACAGCCGACCCGATTCCTTCAACAGAGACGTGCAGGGCGTCCAGGGTCACGGCAGTGTCCGTGTCTGCAGGAGCGCGGGGCCGAGGGCTGGGGACGCGGAGGCCCCCGGCCCGGGGAAGCCGCTTTCTGGGGCATCTGATGACTAGCTTTTCCTCAAAACCTTCAACTGAGGATCCTTTTCTGAACTAAACCCCTCGAGTAATACCCCCAAGACAGAGGTCCAGAGAGCCAAGAACGTGGCGGATTCTGTGTTCCAAGGAGCCCCCCAGCACGCCCGAGGGCGGTCTGCGGCGCCCCGCCCCGCGCCCATCCTGGCCCAAGAACGCGTTCTCAGGAAGTTCATCAAGTAATCGCTTTATTTTCAAAACACGTTTTGGGGAAATAGCACGTGATGTCTGATATTCAAATACAATCACAAACACCCCCCCATGAAAGCAAAATCTGCCCCAAAAGCACTTCCCTTGGCAGCCAAAAGCACGCGCACACCCTGGGACGGCGACATGCCAGTAACCGAGAGGCCGCCGGAGAAGGCGCTTGGTGGGGAAGACGCGCTGGAGCCACTGACGTCACAAACGGACCCCAGAACTTCCCCGACAGTCCCTAAGTTGCGTCAATGAGTGTGTTGCATGAGAAGCGGGAACCCCACCTTGAGGCCCAGCAGTGTGCGCCCCAGGCCCCGGGGTCTGCACCAGCGCAGAGCTCGAGGTGAAGCGGCTCCAGCGACAGAAGTGACACCGCGGTGGCCCCGGCGCCCGCCACATGGGCACGGCCCGCGAACACGGGGCGGGAAGAACCTGAAGGCCGCGGAGAAGCGCCGAGCATCTGAAGTCCGAGACACCAAGCTCGTGTAAACACACAACACGCGCGTCCCCACCCGCCACCTGACTGCCCAGCACGTGGCAAGGCCGGTGCCACCCTCTCACGGGGCTTCCGTGGCACTTGCAGGAAAGGATACCCTACAGCGTGGTCTCCACCAGGGTGATTTCTGGCCCCCGAGGGTGGCTGGCACTGCCTGAAGACACTTGGGGAGTGGGGCACCGAAGAGACCTGCCTGTGACGCCCGGGGCGCTTGGACTGCAAAAAATTCTGCTGAGGGGGCCTCCCTGGCGGCCTAGGGGTTGAGTCTCCACCCTGCGGCCTAAGTTTGATCCTGGCCAGGGAGCAACCCACAGGGCGCAGCAGACCCCTCCTGTCTCCCCGCTGCTCCCCTCAGCAGTGTATGTCAGTAGATCTGCCTGCTCTGCTCCCCGCTCTGTCTCTGGTGACTCCTCTCACTCGCCCCCCCACCCCCGCACCAAAAATAAATAACTTAAGGGCCTCCCTGGTGGCGCAGGCAGTTGAGCGAAGCTCTGTGAAGCTGCCCGCAGCCTCTGCAGCGAGGGTTCGATCTCCGCCAGCCTCGGAGCAACCCACACGGCAGCAGACCTCGCCTGCCTCCCCGCTGCTCCCCTCAGCACTGTGGATTTCATCAGTCTGCCTGTTCTGTTCCCCGCTCTGTCTCTGGTGAGTCCTCTCACCCTCCCGTGCATCTGGCCTGTACCCCGGTTCTTATATAAATAAAAAATAAATCTTTAAAAAAAACCCCAAAAATAAGTAACATGAGACATACGAACGCACGACTGAATACAGAAGGATGCAAAGCTAAATCATCGATTTTTATGACGTTCTCTTGAGGCTTATTATGAACCAGCTTCCCGGCCACAGGGAAACACAAGGGCTCGTACAGCCCGGCGGCGGCAGCCAGGGGGCCAGGGCGCAT